GGTCATTGAGAATGGAAGAGAGATACAGTTATATGGACATTAGTTTTATTAGGGGATCGTTACCGATACACATTGTAATGAAAATAATTTTATTCATAAAGCACATTTTACAACAATTCTTAAACTAACATAACTGTCCTAATTGAATATTAATATAGAGAGCACAAAGAAATTCACTATGATAAGGGTACCCACTTACACCCCAGCCCGGGGCTGAATTCTCAGCAGAATCTATAGGGCAGGTTATTATAGTATTGATGTGGGGCATATCCTCTACATATTTGTTACAACAAATGGGTAATGGGTATTTTTAGCTTATAACTTACAAATAACAGCAGATGAGCAAAATCTGACGGGGCAAAAAAATCAGGTGGTCAGATCTAGCTGTTGAGAAAGTTTCATTTTAAAAATATCTGTGCATTCATATTGGACAGAAATGTCGAATTCTGATTTTTGTAGTTTTATACTGTTATCTTGAAAATTGAATTGATAACTGCAATAACAAAATGTCATAAGGTTCATAATAAGTTTGTGTTCCAAATTTCATAAATGTTTGATCTCAAGAGTAGGAGTTATGGCCACTGAACATAATTTTGTACTGTTTGTGTAGTTTTGTTTTTTTTTGTTTTTGTTTGTTTGTTTGTTTTTTTGTTGTTTTTTTTTTAGTGATATGAGATAGATGAAAATATAATGAGATATAATGGTGAACGAGGCATTTTACACATATTTAGCAAGTTCTCTATAGCAAATAAATACATTGTACAACGAATCTAAATATCCATGATTAAAGTTCCTCCTACTTAGAGCTATTTGTTGGTTATGTAATACAGCCATGTGAGCAATGCTCCGGAGGGAAGGGGGGGGATAGTTCTTTGTACAAAAGGAACACGTTTTATTCTTATGCTTTGTTTTCTCTGTCAGTATATATTTTTAAAGGACAAGATAGGTTAAGACCTCTTTTTGGCCCCTGGTTTGGGATGTCTTTTAGAATGATGCAACAGTTTATCAATAGAAATCTGTTGTTACCCCTGCCACAAAATGAGTATTGGCTCTAACTTATGGAATACACAGAGGTCACAGGAAGGTCAGAAAATATGACAATTTCCAAATTTTCTCATTTTTATGCAAATTTTCATCGAATTTTCTGTACATTTTGTTTCAGAAAACATAGAGCACAAGCTTGCCTATCTACCAAATTTATATATTTCATACACTAGTATCAGATGCATCTTGTGTATAAAAATCTCAGATAGGCAAGCTTGTGCTCTATGTTTCCCGAAGTGAAAATATCTCAAATTTGACGAAATTCCTCCAGAATTGAGAAAATTCTGGAAAATGTCCTACTTCTGCACCCTCTTGTGGCCTCCCTGTAAGCTTTGAATAAAAATTAGGTCTGGTTTTAAACAAACATTATTCTAAGTTCTTAACTACAAACTATCACAATTTTAACTGTGTTCTGATTTTTACATCAAATAAGGGGCCAGATTCGGCCGTTACCATACCTTGTCCTTTAATTTAATACGTCGAATAAAATATCATATTATAAGCATTTAGATCATATAGAGTATTTTGATTAAAAAAATAAGTCTTCCGAATAAGGAAGTATCTGCTATAACCTTGTTTTGTATAAATGGGATTTACTGTATCCGTGCAAAAACTATGCTTTACCTAGAAATTTGGATTTACGGTACTGAGCTTAATTTGTATATCTTGAACATTGTTAACTACGTGGAGTATTTGTTTCTGAAGTCATAATGCAGTATGCTAGATTATCGTACGAAGCTCGATCTTCTGTCCAGGAAATACACACAAGTTGTAGTTACAAAAGAATAGTAAATCAGTATCTGTCACAATCAATGAGATCATGCCATAAACATCCCAAAAAAGCAAACAATCACTCGGAAAATAATGAAGAAGACAAGGGGGAATAGACCTTCTCATAATGGAAACCGACCCTCTATTCAAGTATATTAGACAGAGGAGAGAAAAATTAGCATTGAGCACATAGAATACTAGTTTTCCATTAGACTGAATTGATTCCGGGGCCCGTCTGAGGAATCCAAGTGTTTGGTGAGTTTTCTGATGACCGGATTTTACAATGTTCTTGTCACCATGGAGAGATGATCACTGCCAGGAATTTAATCTGATTTTGACATGGATGAAGCCTAATGAGGGAGTTTCCGCGGGATTACCGAAATAATGGAGTAGTTATCCCGTCTTAACGCAGGCCTTATCGGATTGAAGAAATCATCTTTAATTATATCTTAAACAGTTGTTGACTATTGTGGGTCTTCCTTACGAGACATAAGTCACAATGTCTTATATGGAGGAAAAATTCAAATAGGATGATTTCTTCATTTTATGTGTTCAATTTGAAATTTAAGTAAAAGTAGTCTTACATATAGCAAATTTCAGTTTAAAAAGATTTTTTCTGGACACACATTATATTGAATGTGGGTTTGTATTATTTTATTAAAATGCAATAATCTTGTTTTATGATTCACTGTTAGACTCAATTAAATTAACTTGATTTCTTGGGGTGTAATCATATTAATCATTATATTAATATTGTTTAATGAGTGAATATAGAGAAGTTAATATTGGAGCCATGCTACTGTGAGATGTATATTTGCTTATAGCCTATGCGGGGGACAAAATAATCGATTATTTATGGGGGGAGGGTGCTTCTATCGCCAATCTCCTACTTTCATTCAAATATTTTCAAGGATAGTCCACCAAACCTGTAGGAAATTTCAATGATTGGACACATATATGAAAAGCACATTGTTATATTGGTGTCTGGGCCTGATATTTGAATCCTTCTGTTTATAAGTTAATTTTATTAATGACCGTTAAATTATTTAATATTTGGTTTTATTTACACAACATTTCCTCTTTTCATAGAGCGTACTTTGTTTGAATTACTACGAGAAATTTATCTCCAAGTTTATCCATCACGCTGAGTGGATAACGACTGTAAAACAACACTTATTTAGAGTCTCATTAGCACAAATGTAATGTATTAGACAACTCAGTATTGAAAAAAGAGATTTATCTAAATCCCAAATGTTTTGAAAGAGGAGACGAACAGACAATAAAATGTATGTACACAGTACTTTAGAAAATTAGGTATCGATTTAATGTTCAACTTATTTTTGAAAAGTTAAACTAATTTTGAATTTTTAGAATGAGTTCATTTATTGGCATTTTGATAAAATATTAGCCCATGTCTACAATCTGCTCAAATCAATATTGCTCAATCAACGCTGGGATGTTGAAAACTTGCGGAAAAGGGATGTATGGATAAATATTTGAAGTAGAAAATTAAAACGCGATGCATTTAGAGTAAATCGTTATAACCTGTTCATTGGCATCTCATTACTAGCAATTGGAGAGTGAGTAGGTTTTTATAAATAACTGGTCCCTGGCCAAAATAAGACTCTGTTAAATGGGTTTCAATTGTTTTTTCAATGATCTGTTCCATATATTTGTATAGAAAAATAGGGACATGTGTTTTACATTTCGAAAGAATTCGTTTAGCTAAGAGATCAGTCATTTCAACGTACAGATTTTTGTTTTATTAATTTATCTATTTTTAATTATATCGTTATAATTCTTCTGCTAAACATTTATAACTACACAGGCAATCGATCTCTCTGTGGCATTCTGAAAACCACAATATTTTAACACTTAGACTTTCGTTTTTCGTTGTGGAATAAAACACTTTTAAAAGTAACTTTATCATTATATATACAGGGTCGTCCATCAGACCCGGGAGCCGGGGAATTCCCCGCCTACATAATGACGTGACCCCCCGGTTACTCTGGTATTCTTCCTCATCCCGATGTTAAGGAAGAAACATCAGTCCCTCTTCTACGTTTTTAAATGCCCCCTGCTATTTTAATTCTAAGGGACAACCCTGCATATAGCTTTATAAATATAACATATATCTGTTGAAACAGAGGTATACCCGCGCTGCACATATCTGAAAACGATGCTGGGGATATTTCGACTCATGAGAGAGGCTATAACTGCTTGATTGTAGTGACTCCTGCAGGACACTGTGAGAATTCCTTGTAAGGAAATAAAATCAGAGTAAAAATGACCTTAAATGGCGTCTGCATATCTAGCTCTGACGGGTCCAGTCTAGTCACATGTAATTGGTTCCGTGTGATTCATTACGCTTCACTGGGGAATTCGTTTCAATCTGTAAATTGATCATTTTCCGGGGTAACTTTGATAGGTCTAGGCATTCTCATTGCCTTTTCTTTCCATGCTTTCTCTGCTGTTAAATGGTGTGTACATAATTCACATTTTCTGTAGCCATGTTCTGTGACCGAAATACTCTGCAGACCTAGAAGATGGAATTTAATCTTCTATTGTAGTCTTTTTATCAATAAATGATTTAGATGATGTGCATATCAGTTCTCTATAAATTGGATATGTGAATAACAGATCTGGTAAATTGACGGTCATGGCATGAAGGAATATATCTCTCTATTTCTTTCATTCCAAGCTCGTAAGTCCGTACACATCTCTTTTAGTATTCTCTATTGAGAAGTTGATGGCTTGTTTTAATACTCTCTCTCATTGGGAAGTATTAAAACGAGCCATCAACTTCTCAATAGAGAATACTCTTTTAGTATCAGAGAGTGTGAATTTTTATAAAAGGCTAGTTTTAGGTTATAGTTTGGACTTTTCAATTGTAATACTTTGTGATTATGTCATACAAAATATTTTATTTAAAAAAAGTCAAAGAACCCTGTGGGTACGGAACACGTGGTGGGGGGGGGGGGGGTCCGTCCCAAGCACCTGTAGGTTAATGCTGTACACAAATATTTTCTTGACAAAAAAATTGTAATTTAATAAGATGTCTCCTAAAAGACACTCTTGAATAAGCATAAATAAAAACATATGACACCAAACTCCACTTCGTACTAGGTATGCATAAATTCGTGCGGAATAAAAATATTTACAGGATTTGGCTCTCTCGTTTATTCTAACCCAAGGTGAAGGTCGAAAGAAAATAAACTTATTGTTTATCCGGAATCTCCTATTTATTGTGAAGAAAGTACGTATAAAATTCAAGTTTATAGTTGAAAATATCAGTCTACGTATGATTTTCTTTGCAATTTTAAATTTAATTACTTATCAGAAAACCATGAATTGATGAGAATGCCATGTAGTCCGAATTATCTCTATGGATTGTTTTCAGCAACATGTTGAGGTCGTTGGTTGGTATAACAAGACAGGTGTATACGTGTGTGGTTCGACCAAGTTTAGCTTCAGGTAACATTTTTTCAAAAATAAATATAATTCGGTAAAGCACATTAGGCCTATATTTCGGATAAAAATATGCATAAATGTGTTTCCAAAACACAAGTTAATTCGAACATGGGCTTGCTAACACTGCGTGTAAAAAATATTTGTCTAAAAAACATATACCAACTGCTTAAACAACGTTAGAAGTTGTTATATGATTTTAAAATATTGTACAATATGTTTTATTTTTATGATGCGACGGTTGGGGTGAGCATAGTTAGAATAATCTAACTGTGTCTCGGGACAAGCCCTCACCACAGTTAGAATACGTCCCATATACTTGCAATGTAGCAAATCGGAGTGGATCCACTCCGAAATGATTTTGAAGAATACAAAAGGAGTTGCACTGAAAATAACTACCAAATTAATCATAACAAACCTTTTTGAGATTGTAGATGCCTTTTAACCTAAAAAATAATCCATATAAATATGAAAATTCAATTCATTTTCTCAACGCTTTTTCCTCGCTTCAAATTTAACGCCATGTTGACATCGGAACTCTCTGGATTGTTCATAAAAAATGCACAGAGTTTGAGTTATCGCCCGTATTTATTTTGCAACATTGCCAATACACAGAACGAATTCTATCGTTAAACCGGGTCCGTAGGACAATATCATTTTAACGATAGAACGTTCTATCTAGGGTGAGCACAAATGTATTAATTAACTGATACCATCAAAAACTTGACATTACTTACAATTTTAACTTTGATCCAACTCATCAAACAGCAATTATAGACTTAGTCTAGACTGTGATATCTCATGATGTCGTATGCCAGTTGAACTTCCATAGCAGAGTCTGACAAGTTTATTTTGTTTTTGAACAAAAGGATTTACAGAGTACATGTACATGCATTTTTTTCCCTTTAACAGGCTCTAGATCTGTGAGTCTCAGAATTAAATCCTTACAAAATCTGCAGTACTGATATGATATTAGCCATTATCACATGGAATTCTCGTAGCAAGAATTCTGGGAAGGTTTCACACATTTTGTTTGATGAATGTGTATTTCTTCTGTTCTTGCACGTTAGTCCATAGAGCTGACTGCGCTCACTATTAACACAGTTGGAACAAGCCCCTGCAGAGGTGTGCATTTACAAAAATTAGTTTACTAGCCCGTCGGGCTAGTGGCAGTAACAAAGTTACTAGCCCGAGGTTGCCAGTCACTAGCCCATTATCTACCGAAAACAATGCATGTATAAGTATAACAAAAAGGTTAAAAAAAAAAACCATTTAAGTTGAAATAGATAAAACAAATAATGGTTTGCGCTTTGTTATTGTTAGGTACTTCTTCCTATTTTTATTGACTATAATTGTCACTGAAACGACTGGCGATAGCAACACATAATACACATAGGTTAAAACGAATTAAAGATAATGATTTTACAACAAAGTTAATTCGTACATCAATTCAGTTGACGTAAATATACGTATACTTTCGTTTTACGGGCTAACACAGTATAGATTTATGATAGCCCAACCTCTAAAATTGGTATCCCCGGGCGTCGGGCGATGGTAATTGCACATCCCTGCCCTGTACCAAGAATGTGAAAAAGGGGAGTAATTATAATCTCAGTTTAGATTTGACTTGGGTGGATATTTGGACTCTCGCCATTGCCCTGTCTTGAAACATTGATTCATAATTCATGTCTGGAAATTCACACAACTTCTGTTATTAAATTGCACTTAATCAATTTTGAGGTCACAGAGGCAAAGGTAAAAATACTTGGAAGTATTGAGAGGCCTTTCAGTATTTTGAGAGCCCTTTGCTTGACAGACATCAAACTTGGTAAACTGGTTCCCTTAAGGACTAGATGACCCCTTCCGATTTTTAGGTCAAGGGTCAAGATCAAACTAGACATACAAAGATATTGACCTCTTAATATCTTGAGAACCCTTTGCTTGATAGACATCAAACTCTGTACATTGGCTCCCCTGAGGAGTCGATGACCCCTAATGGTTTTGAGGTCACAAGGTGAAAGATCAAGTGTCAAACTTGGAAAATATTGTCTGATCAATATCTTGAGATCCCTTTGCTTGACTTATATCAAACTTTACATTGGTTCTTTATAGGGAGTATAGATAGCTTCTATTTATTTTGAGGTAACAAGATCAAAGGTCATGGTCAAACTGGACATATTATATTAAGATAGTGACTGGTTAGTATCTTGACAACCCTTTGTTTGACAGATATCAAACTTGGTACACTGGTACTCTCTAAAAAGTAAGTTACTCCTAATGATATTGAGATCTGATGGAGATCAAACTTCAGATTATATTTGTCCCGTGACAAGAAGGTTGTTACCCATTTTTTCACTATCATTACAGACATATTCTAAATCTAAAGCTGACTCTTTTTAATATTGCTGCATTTTGAGCATACCAGTATATTTCTTGTTTTTTAAGCTCTCTGTTAGGACAAAATCTTGGTCACCTACATGTTTTATCCATCATCATCACAAAGAAATTCTGGGAACTTGCACTCAAAAATTTCCTTGACAAAAGTTCAGGTTTCAGTTTAAATTACTTCTCTTTGTAGATGTTTGGTCTTAAGTTTTCTTGCTTTATGAATGGCACATGGCGCTTCTCGCTGTCATCACTATTATGTTATACATGTAAATTCTTATGCATTAGGAGAAAGAATAATTTTTTCGGAAACATTTTTTTTGTTTGTTGAAAAATGGTAAGTTTCATGTACTCGTTTTTTTCATCAAAATATTCAAACTTGAAAATTAAGTTCTGTGAATATTTTTTTTTTTATATGAAAAGTGAATTTCCTTTTCAGTAAACCACCAAGCTGTAAGTTACTTCCATGAAAGTGAAGAAGACCGAGTTACACTGGGGGACAATCAGCATGACAAGAAAAACTGGAGGTTGTTTAATGCTTTTGTAATACACATACTTTAAATAACATGAATGAAAGTCAGGCAGAATCATTTGCTATGGCCAGATAACTCAGTTCATGATATGTTTTAAGTTCAGGGGGATTAGGGTTTGAACCCTATTCTCTTGAATATACATTAATTGACTGGGTTCAAGGGCAACATGCGTGTTGTCGGACCTAAGAACCAAACTGTTTGCCTGATGTTGTTAGGCCGAAGGCAAACAGTTTGGTTCGAGGGTCAGCAAAATGCATTTTTTCCAAGAACACAGTCAATAAATGTTTTGTTATACCTTTTTAGCTCTTCTGAGCCATAACTCAAGAACCCCTTGGCCAATTATTGTCAAATTTGTCACAGGGTATCCTTGGCCCAAGGGCTCTCTTTTATACTAAAACTGGGGTTGTGACCCTTTGACAAGGGGAGATAATTAGGTAAATAGAAACAAAAGTACTGGTTGCTAAAAAATCTTCTTCTCAAGAACCAGTGGGCAGATTATCACCAAACTTACACAAAAGGATGAGGATATGTTGTAGATTAAAATTTGCACGGGGATTTACCCTGGGGCAAAGGGCGTGGTCTCAAGGTCACTTCAAAGTTGACCAAAAATTACATTTTATTAAAATGTTGATATTTTGCTTACTATAAGGACTAGGATCATCAAATCTTGTCAGTTGGTGCATCTAAGGACCTCATATCATGTTGACTCAAAAGTAGGTCACGGTGACCTACTTTTTAAATTTTGCGGCCATTCTTTTTCAAAATGATTTAGAGGCATATTTTGAACAATTTAAGGCCTATGATCATCAAACTTTGTCAGTTGATGCATCTTGGGTCCTCAAAGTACGTCAACTAAAAAGTAGGTCACCTTGACCTACTTTTTGAATTTTATGGCTAATCTTTTTTAAAACAATTAAGGTCATTAATTCGAATACGGGGAGGCTTAGAATCATTAAATCTTGTAAGATGATGCATCTTGGGGCCATAAAACATATTTATTAAAAAGTAGGTCACAGTGACCTACTTTTTGAACTTTGCAGGCATTCGATTTGAAAGCGTTTTAGAGGCATAATTTGGACATTTTAAGTCCTATGATCATAAAACTTTGTAAGTTGATGCATCTTGGGTCCTCAAAAAAGGTCAACTGAAAAGTAGGTCACTGTGACCTAGTTTTCAATTTATATGAAACATCAAACTTTGTCAGTCGATGTATCTTTGGTCCTCGGAGTACAGCAGTACTAATTGGCTTAGAATCAGTCACTATCTTAATATAATATGTCCAGTTTGACCATGACCTTTGATCTTGTTACCTCAAAATCAATAGAAGCTATCTATACTCCCTATAAAGAACCAATGTAAAAGTTTGATATAAGTCAAGCAAAGGGATCTCAAGTACAGCAGTAGGTCACGGTGACCTACTTTTGAAAATTTATGGCTTTAATAAAATATTTCGGGTACTAATTGGCTTAGAATCATCAAACTTTGTCAGTTGATGCATCTTGGGTCTTCAGAGTAGATCGACTAAAAAGTAGGTCACTGTGACCTACTTTTGAAAATTTATGGCTTTAATTAAATATTTCAGGTACTAATTGGCTTAGAATCATCAAACTTTGTCAGTTGATGCGTCATGGGTCTTCGAAGTAGGTCGACTAAAAAGTAGGTCACTGTGACCTACTTTCGGAAAATTTATGGCTTTAATAAAATATTTCGGGTACTAATTGGCTTAGAATCATCAAACTTTGTCAGTTGATGCATCTTGGGTCCTCGGAGTACAACAACTGAAAAGTAGGTCACGGTGACCTACTTTTGAAATTTTATGGCTGTATTTAATATTTTCAGGAATTATTTGGCTTAGAATTGTCAAAATTTGTCAGTTGATGCATCTTTGGTTGTCGGAGTAGGTTGACTGAAAAGTAGGTCACTGTGACCTACTTTTGAAAATTTATGGCTGTTATTAGCTCACCTGAGCCGAAGGCTCAAGTGAGCTTTTCTGATCAAAATTTGTCCGTTGTCTGTCGTCGTCGGCGTCGTCGGCGTCGTTGTTGTCGTAAACTTTTCACATTTTCATCTTCTTCTCCAGAACTACTGGGCCAATTTCAATCAAACTTGGCACAAAGTATCCTTGGGTGAAGGGGTTTCAAGTTTGTTCAAATGAAGGGCCACGCCCTCCTCCAAGGGGAGATAATTACGAAATAGCAAAAAATTAATGGCATTATTGAAAAATCTTCTTCTCAAGAACCAGTGGGCCAGGAAAGATGAAACTCATGTGGAATTATTGTCAGGTAGTGTAGATTCAAGTTTGTTCAAATCATGACCCCCGGGGATAGGGTGGGGCTACAATGGACGATCAAAGTTTTACATAGGAATATATAGGAAAAATCTTCAAAAATCTTCTTCTCAAGAACAGCAAAGCTATGATTGGTCATATTTATTTGGAAGCATCCACAGGTGGTGTAGATTCAAGTTTGTACAAATCATGACCCCCGGGGGTAGGGTGGGGCCACATTGGACGATCAAAGTTTTACATAGGTCTGGAATATATAGGAAAAATCTTCAAAAATCTTCTTCTCAAGAACAGCAAAGCTATGATTGGTCATATTTATATGGAAGCATCCTCAGGTGGTGTAGATTCAAGTTTGTTCAAATCATGACCCCCAGGGGTAGGGTGGGGCCACAATGGACGATCAATGTTTAACATAGGCGTACATAGGAAAAATCTTCAAAAATCTTCTTCTCAAGAACAGCAAAGCTATGATTGGTCATATTTATTTGGAAGCATCCTCATATAGTGTAGATTCAACTTTGTACAAATCTTGACCCCTGGGGATAGGGTGGGTCCACAATGGACGATCAAAGTTTTACATAGGAATATATAGGAAAAATCTTCAAAAATCTTCTTCTCAAGAACAGCAAAGCTATGATTGGTCATGTTTATATGGAAGCATCATCAGGTGGTGTATATTCAAGTTTGTTCAAATCATGACCCCGGGGGTAGGGTGGGGCCAAAATGGACGATCAGTTTAACATACATGTAGGTGTACATAGGAAAAATCTTCTTCTCAAGAACAGCAAAGCTATGATTGGTCATATTTATTTGGAAGCATCCTCAGGTGGTGTAGATTCAAGTTTTTTCAAATCATGACCCCCGGGGGTTGGGTGGGGCCACATTGGACGATCAAAGTTTTACATAGGAATATACAGGAAAAATCTTCAAAAATCTTCTTCTCAAGAACAGCAAAGCTATGATTGGTCATATTTATATGGAAGCATCCTCAGGTGGTGTAGATTCAAGTTTGTTCAAATCATGACCCCCGGGGATAGGGCGGGGTCACAATGAACGATCAAAGTTTTACATAGGAATATATAGGAAAAATCTTTAAAAATCTCAAGAACAGCAGAGCCACGGTTTGTCATATTTATACGGAAGCATCCTCATATAGTGTAGATTCAAGTTTGTTCAAATCATGACCCCCCCCCCACTCCCTTTTTAGGGGTAGGTTGGGACCACTTATGCATTTAAGCTTTTCAATACTAAACTGATTTTTCCTTTTTTCCTAGCCACAGTGCTCAGGTGAGCGATGTGGCCCTTGGGCCTCTTGTTAAATATTTTGGGTACTTATTGGCTAGAATCATCAAACTTTGTCAGTCAATGTATCTTTTGTCCTCGGAGTACAGCAACTGAAAAGTAGGTCACGGTGACCTACTTTTGAAAATTTATGGCTTTAATTAAATATTTCAGGTACTAATTGGCTTAGAATCATCAAACTTTGTCAGTTGATGCATCTTGGGTCCTTGGAGTAAAATAATTGAAAAGTAGGTCACTTTGACCTACTTATAAAATTTTATGATTATTATTTTAGAAAATATCTTAGGTATTAATTGGCTTAGAATCATCAAACTTAGTTGATGGGTCCTCAGAGAATGACAAGTGATAAGTAGGTCACCATGACCAACTCTCAGGTACTAATTGGCTTAGAATCATCTTGGGTTCTCAGAGTGTGAATTGGAATTTCAAGGGTTTATGTAAATATACAGGATACTTCGAGGCTTCAAATAGAAGTGATAGGTTGTACAGTTTATCAGAAGAGCGATTCAAGGCCCTTGGGCCTCTTGTATTTTATTTTTGTTGAAATCAGTGTATCTTGTGCTGGCTTTCATGATGTATGTTTCAATTAACAGCACTGAACTCAATCAATTCTGTCACTGTCAAACACCAACGAATGAGATTTAGCTGATCCCGCCCATTTTGTGACATAAGCGGTCCAGTATCTCATGGACAGGTCCAATATCTCACTCTGCGGTCAAACATCAATTTTTTTATGACCGCTCAGTAAAACATTGGAAATGTTAGACTTTTTTTTAGAATAGATTTTTAAAGAAACAAATTTTTAAAGGTATAGCAATGACATTGCCTTCCTGTTACCAGTACATCTGTACGTGTGATGGGCATTGTAGATTGACTCATAATAACCAAAAAAATTTATCACTAGATTTCATGTCTACAATGATTTATGAGATATTGATTATTTATAAAGTTTGTTGATGACTAGAATTTGTTTGAAATGCCTTAATTATCATATACGCCTAGGATTTCAAATGTCATAGAATGGACTTTCTTTGTTTCGAACTGATGAACAACCATCAACATTCTGATATTTGAATATTGAGAAGATGCTCACTCTGTTGTAAATTTGACTCATTTGCTAAGGTAACTTGAATGGTTCATCGTCATCTGGTTAATTGTCAAGTTAAAGATTTTTTTTTGATGACAGGAAGCATTACCCCAGTGACCTGACACTTAAAATGAAAATTGATGGGACACCTTATGATGAGCTACCTGTAGTCAACATCAAATCTTCAAAAAACAATGTCATTATATCCCTCTGCAAAGCCTCAGGTAAACTATGGACCAATATGTGTGATTAATTAAGATTTACAAGTACATCTTTGTTTGCTATGGAAGAGATGGAAAATTTTGCATGCAGTGAAACTATGGAAAAATGAGGATATATATAATAAACCTTAATTGTAATTCATTATAAAACCCATTGATTGTTAACTCACCTGTGCCAAAAGCTCAAGTGAGCTATTCTGATCAAAAAAAAATGTCCATTGTCTTACATTGTCATTGACGTCATTGTCGTAAACTTTTTACAATTTCATCTTCTCCAGAACCACTGGGCCAGATTCAAACAAACTTGGCACAAAGTATCCTTGGTTAAAGGGGATTCAAATTTTTGAAAACCCACACCCTTTTATAAGTGGAGATAGCAGTAATGAAAAAAAAATAGTAAAAATTAGGCGGGTCATTTAAAAATCTTCTTCTCAAGAACCACTGGACCAGAAAAAATGAAACTTAAGTGAAAGCTTTCTGATAAAGTGTAGATTCAAGTATGTTCAAATCAAGACTCCAGGGGTGGGGTCAGGTCATTATGGGCGATCAAAGTTTTACATGATTATAGATATGAAAAATATTCCTTAAAGATCTTCTTCTCAAGAACATCAAAGCAATGATCAGTCATGTTTATATGGAAGCATCCACAGGTGGTGTATATTTAAGTTTGTTCAAATCATGACCCCAGGGAGTAGAATGGGGCCACTTGGATGATCAAAGTTTTACATAGGAATACCGAAAAAATCTTTAAAGATCTTTTTCCAAGAAACAGCAAAGTTATGATTGGTCATATTTGTATGGAAGCATTGTAGATTCAAGTTCGTTCAAATCATAACCCCCAAGGGTAGGGTGGGGTCACAGTTGGCAATCAAAGTTTTACATAGGAAAACATAGGATAAATAAAAACCTTTTTGTCTAGAACAACAAATCTATGATCAGTCATATTTATATGATGCATCTTCAGGTAGTGTAAGTTTGTTCAAGTCATGACCTTGGAGGTATTGTGGGGCCACAATGGGTAATTTAAGTTTAACGTTGAAATACATAGAGAAAATCTTTTAAAATCTTTTTCCTAGGAACAGAAAAGTCATGATTAGCCATATTTATATGAACCATCCTCAGGTATTCAATTTTGTTCAAATCATTACCCCTGGGGATAGGTGGGGTCACAATGGGCAATCAAAGTTTTTGCAAAGGAAAAATCTTCTTCTCAAGAACAGCAAAGCCATGATGAATCATATTTATATGGAAGCATCTCTGTAGATTCAAGTTTGTTCAAATCATGAAACCAGGGAGTAAGTGGGGCTACAATGGGGGATCAAAGTTTTACATGAGTATATATAAATATAGCAAAAATCTTCTCTAGAACAGTAAAACAATGATAAGTCACATTTTGTGTAGTGTAGATTCTAGTTTATTAAAACCATGACCCCCAGGGGTAGGGTGGTGCAATAATGGGAAATCAATGTTTTACATAGGAATACACAGAATAAATTTGTAAAAATCATCTACTCAAAAACAGCAAAGCCATGATCAATTGTAAAGTGGAAGCATCATCAGGTAGTGTAGATTCAATTTTGTTCAAATCATGACTTCCTGGGGGTAGGGTAGACCGACAATGGGCAATTAAAGTTTTACATAGGAATAAATAGGAAAAATCTGTAAAAAAAATTCTTCTCAAGAACAGCAAAGCCATGGCAAGTCATATTTATATGGAAGAATTCTCAGGCAGTGTAGATTCAAGTTTGTTCAAATCAGCCGTGGGGGTAGGGTGGAGCTACAATGGGAGATCAAAGTTTGACATAGAAATATATAGGGGAAAAAAACTGTTGACGAAGAAGAACCATAGTTACACAGGTGAGCATTGTTACTCATGGGCCTCTTGTCTATTGGGAAAGGTTTTTTTTATTTTTAGCTCACCTGAGCCGAGGGCTCAAGTGAGCTTTTCTAATCACTTTTTGTCCAGTGTACGTCTGTCTAGCTGTCAGTCTGTCTGTAAACTTTTAACAATTTTGACTTCTTCTCAAGAACCACTGGGGCAATTTCAACCAAACTTGCCACAAAGTATCATAGGGTGAAGGGGATTCAAGTTTGTTCAATTGAAGGGCCATGCCCTCTTTCAAAGGTAGATCATAAAGAATTGGAGAAAAATTAATAGCATCTTTTAAAAATCTTCTTCTCAAGAACCACAGGGCCAGGAAAGACGAAAATCATGTGGAAGCATCCTCAGGTAGTGTAGATTCAAGTTTCTTCAAATCATGACCCCCGGGGGTAGGGCGGGGCCACAATGGAGGATCAAAGTTTTACATAGAAATATATAGGAAAAACCTTTAAAAATCTTCTTCTCAAGAAAAGCAAAGTCATGATGAGTCACATATTTATATGGAAGCATCCTCAGGTAGTGTAGATTCAAGTTTCTTCAAATCATGACCCCCGGGGGTAGGGTGGGGCCACAATGGAGGATCAAAGTTTTACATAGAAATATATAGGAAAAATCTTTAAAAATCTTCTTCTCAAGAACAGCAAAGCCATGATGAGTCATATTTATATGGAAGCATCCTCAGGTAGTGTAGATTCAAGTTTGTTCAAATCATGACCCTTGAGGATAGGGTGGGGCCACAATGGAGGATCAAAATTTTACTAAGAAGTATATAGGAAAAATCTTTAAAAATCTTCTCAAGAAAAGCAAAGTCATGATGAGTCACATATTTATATGGAAGCATCCTCAGGTAGTGTAGATTCAAATTTATTCAAATCATGACCCCTGGGGGTAGGATGGGGCCACAATGGAGGATCAAAGTTTTACATAGAAATATATAGGAAAAATATTTTCTACTGAAGAACTGCAAAGCCATGATTAGTCATTTTGGAAGCATCCTCAGGTAGTGTAGATTCAAGTTTGTTAAAATGATGCCCCCAGGGGATAGGGTCAGGCCACAATGGGGAATCAAAAATTTTACATAGGAACATATAGGAAAATACCTTCTTCTCAGGAACTGAAAATTATGTTTAGTCATTTTGATATTGAGGCATCCTCAGGTAATGTAAATTCAATTTTGTTCAAATGATGACCCCCAGGGGTAGGGTGGGGCCCAATGGAGGATCAAAAGTTTTACATAAGAAGATATAGAAAAAATATTTCTTCTCAAGAACAGAAAAGCTATGTTTAGTCTTATTGATATGGAAGCATTCTCAGGTAGTGTAGATTCAAGTTTGTTCAAATGATGACCCCTGGGATAGGGAGGAGCTACAATGGGGGATGAAATTTTTACAAAAGAATATATGGGAAATTTTTTTTTTAAATCTTCTCAAGTACAACAAAGACATTTGTTATATTGACATGGAAGCATCATCAGGTAGTTTACCCCCCCCCCTCCAATACTGAATTGATTTGTGCTTTTGCCTAGCCAATGTGCTCAGGTGAGAGATGTGGCCCATGGGCCTCTTGTATAAGATTTCTATTTTTGTTTTTTGGGTTTTGTGAAATTCATTACCCGTCTTTTACAAATAAGCAACATACATACATATTTTATGTTTTCAATATTAGATTGTGGGTTAAAATACTAAAAAAGACACATCTACTTTATGAAAATATCTGTACTTGTATTTTGTATTTCAGTTTTTCATAAAGAAAATTTGACATTTATAATTTTGCTTTTTAGGTGATATTATATACTCTTCCTCTGGGGTAGGTACAGATTTTTATTTTTAAAATTATAACAAAAATTAAACAGAATTACTGTGTACATGTGCATTGTTTATTTAAGTAAGCTGCCTAATTTTTGTTTTTAAGGGAATCCTTGGGTTCAGGAACACAAAGGGCAAAACAAACCTTTGTGCGCAGACTGTTGGATCCCACATAGGGGAGGTAATGGTCATTAAAAAAGATTTTTATAATTTTAGAACAATATGGCAATTTTGCTCACTTTTTTCACAGTTATTTATTATTCTTCATTTCAGTAGCCAGTAATAATTTTTTTTGAGGGTGCATCATTTAGTCAGAATTTGACATAAAGGAGTTTAGGATTTCAGATAAAAAATTATAGCTTATTACAAGGATAAGCTACTTTATTAGACCTTTCTTCTTGAAATCATCACCCATTGTAAACATTGTCATAGTGACAAGGTTTGAATCACGTCTATGATGATATGAATTGGATGTATTAAGATTATTTGATATATATGATGAAGTGTCTTTTACAGAAAGCCGTCGACTTAGGTTTAAAGAATCTGAGGGTTAAGTTGAATGGGATTGATGGCAAAAGATCAGTAAGTTCTGCAATTTGTTTCATTTTTGTAAATGTGGAACTATTGCCAAGTCTTTTGACTAGTTTAAAACAAAATTTCCTAGCTTCTCAGTTTTGGAGTACATGTATTTGAATTCAGTGTCTCCTGAGTCACTCAGGTGATCTATTGCTGATTGTCCCCCGTTTGTTGTTGTGTGCACTGTGTAAACTTTTGAACATTTTCAGCTTCCTCTTTGAACTGGTTAAACCAATTTCAACCAATTTTGGTATCTAGTATCTATGGATGAAAGGGAACAGAAATTATGAATTTCATAGTCTCTGCCACCCTTGGGCTTGAGGAGTGTGGCCAAAACCATCTAAACTAATGCATTCTTGGAGAAGTAGTGTCTGTTAATTAAATGTTTGGAGATTGAATCTCCAAACATTTAATTAACAGACAATACTTCTTACAAGGGGAGTAGCAAACCTTCTACAAAAATTGTAAATGTCGGATGTCCCTTTGAATCAAAATTGAGCTCCATATAAAAATACAGTACACCTTTACATGTCTTCAGCTAGCAGACAGTCTGTTTGATTAAGTACAGCTAAACTTCGAAATCTCGAACACGGATATCTCGAATACCCCGGATATGTCGAAGTAAGGCCGTGGTCCCGACGAATTTTGCTTAATAAATGATTAAAATAAACCCCTCTATGTCGAACATGGTAATGTCGAATACCCCGGTTATCTCAAAGTAAAATTGTGTACCCATTCATTAAAATCACATGCGTTATCTCGAAGTCAGGATAATTTTCCGCTCTGATGATCAAGTCCGTTAGGTAAACTGAATGCTCTATTGATAACACCCACCTGTCTGTCACGCTCGGGTTACCTGTATTCCTGTGATCAACAGATAATAGCGCGATAATTATATGAAGTGTATGTATGGCTTACCTTGATTGTAATTATGCAAGCCAAAGGTTGTGTGTATTAGTCTAATGCATACGCGTGGATGACACGTTAATTGTTTTGTGGCTTGGGTACGTTTATCTTTATAATCGCTATTTAATGCTATGCGAAATATGCGAGCATACATATAGTTTATGGATATGAAAGTGAAAATTATAGCCATCGAAGTAAAACAAAATTCTCAAATTCAATGCAGTTAGAATTTATTTTCCCTATATGACCGTGCAGAATTTACAATCGTCCGTACACACCATCATGTGAGTGTGTGTCGCAGTGAAAAACTTGTGCTGTAGTACCCTGTGATTCAGTGGTGTTCTGATATTAGACAAAAGTGCGTGATTCTTCTTTTGCATTTGATTTTATTATGGTAAAATAATTTTCTTTTAACTGATTTTACATGTCTGAACATGTTTTTCCAATAAAAGAAAATAAATATTTCGTTTTCGTTATTCTGACAGCTACCGGTTTTAAATTTACAATGCATAGACGATATCCGGTTATGTATACATGGGAAACGATGCTAGCGGTTGACTTGCCGCGTTAGTAGAAGGATTATACTTCTGTGCATATTATACAAGCCTTTTATTTTGTGAATTATAAAGAGGATGTAAATTTTTTTTTGATTGCTAAAAACATGTACATGTACATTAAAGAAATCGTATACAAAATTTCGAACAAAAAAGAAACATGACATGTTTTTACTATTAAGTACATATTCACTGCACTAAGTTTATTTAAAGTTCATTTGAATTATAACCCTCGATATGTCGAACCCCCGGATATCTCGAAGTTCATCAACAGTCCCATCAACTTCGAGATAACAAAGTTTAACTGTATAATAAATAGCAATCCCTCTACCAAATTGTAAAAATCATGTCCCCTTGCATCCAGGGTTCAGGTCCCAAAAATTGTGAGATTAATTTATTAACTTCCAGTTCCAATCTAGGTAGAAAACTATCAACATGCAGCATATCAAACAGATGACCATTGGCATTCTTTAGCTTTTAATTCATTTATGATTGATCTTTATTTTATGATGTAAATAATTTTTCTAAATAATTTTATTTTCTTAAATATACTAAAGTGTAGCAATATTAAGCGTTACTGCACATTTAAAACAAATGAATGAAAACATTGTCCTCATTATTTAAATTGAAAAAATGGATGATAGGAAATGTAGGCGTTTTGGGGTATTAGTCCAATCCTGAACACTTTACAAGTTGGACTGAGTGAACCGTTTGTAAACATCTGTAATGCAAAGACACTATCATGAACATTATTGATTTTATGATCAGTGCACAGCATTAAACCAGTGTCTATAATGGCTTGAAAATAAATTAATAACTATTTACAAAACACCAGTGATCATTTCCCCAGATGTATTGCATCACATATATTTATAGCTCAAAGATACAATGTCATGTTGATTTAAAAGACCTGTTGCTGTACAAATGGCTTTTTCAGGAAAATATTTATTACATTTTCCTCTTCAAATAATTTTTGTAAAATCATTCGTAAAATTTAAAACATATTTTATATTTGTTTTTAATTTTGCCTGTTGAAATAAGTTGGCCGAATTAAAAACAATCAGAAATTTGCATTTTTTTTTTCTAGTTCCTTGAAAATTAGGGTCAGTGGATCTTTAAACAAAAAAATTGAAAAACTTTGGCCTTACATTATAAACCCAGATGGCATTGAGGTAAATAATTGTTAATACATGATATTAATTTTGAATTACAGTCGGCCTTGTTGGGTTTACGTACTTCAGGAGTACGAGTTGTATCCATCACTGACGTCACTAAGATACCACATAATGGGTGCCGACCTCGGAAACGACCCAGGAAGTAAATGGTAAGTTACAATAAAGTGAGTACATTTTAGACATGTGATACCTAACAGAATGCCTGCTCTTTGATTAGAGTGATATTCTAATGTTGGATTAAGAAATACATTTTGCAAAAATGCAAAATAGAAATAATGAATATCAGCCTTTTATAAATATTTAATATACGTGTGTGTTGGCTAATAAAATTAGTTTTATTTTTTTTTCCCTCCAGTAAACACTCGAGATATGAAGACTGGAATGATTCTGTAAGCAGTACATCTACCATTTTCCAATAACCCAGTTTTGTAACAAGTCATGTGACAGTCTAACTATTGTATTTCTTGTGATTTTATTTTGATCCTCAAATTCAGATCTGTCAAAATTTCAGATGAATTGTCATGTAAAAGATCATCGTACTGAATAATAAATGTTTCATACAACCAATACCTCTGTTTATAATTTATGTTGAATGGTATTAACACATTCCATTAAATTGATAGGTGAATCAAAAATATTAAAAGTGGAACTGAAATTTGAACACATTCGAAATTTTCTCAAAAGCGTAACATTTTTTACGAACAAAATCAAATTACTAAAAAAAAAATACATGTAATTAAAGTTGTACTTCATAAAATGTCAGTATCTTAAATATAGTATTAAAAATGTCAAGAATTGTTGCAAAATAGTTCATTTACAGAAAAAATAATGAAAGTGTACATTGTACATGTATTTCTATTAAAATATAAATTGGAATCTGCACAAAAATATAAAGAAATATAAAAAGTTAATTCACAATACTATCACAGACAGAATAAAAATATGATACAAAACAATATAAATTATCAAAACATAAGATTGACACTGTGTTGTAATTAATGCTCCATTGGCTCTGACACAGACTGCATGGACACATCGCTCGTGGATTGTTTTTGATTTAAAATACTGGTGACTCGTGCCGCTCGAGATGCCAGAAGAGTTGCATCTGTTATTGCCTGCAATAAGTGTAAAAGTACAGGTATATTAATTAATATATGATAAACTTTTGTTAGCTTAAAGCAATCTGTACACTCCTTTGAAGTAGAATCGAGAGAACTCATTCTCAGAGAAACTGACCAGAGAACACTGATCAAAATAAGAAATTTGTCATTACATTCTTCCAAAGTAGGATTCAGATCTACAACTCCTGTATTGAAATGCTAAACCACTAACTACAAGACCCTTTTTAGGATATTTCATATGGTTTATTCATTTTAATTAAATGGAGTATTGTGGATTTCTCCTTTGTTGCATCACGTCATTATCATTTTTGAGAATACCAAATCATGATTCTCTTGCAGCATCAGATTTCATTTAAAGTTGTCTGCTGACTCTGACGGAATGTCTCTTTTATATCAACAATTATCTAGCAAGACAGAGATAACAAGAAGTCTGTGAGCCAGTGCTCACTAATAATACTCCCGCTCCGATGTGAATACACAAGTTCAGTTATGGAAAGACACAGTGATAATCAGGAAATTGACATTGGATTTATACAAAAATGAATCCCAACATATAGCATGCCTAAACAAAGAGTATGTAAAAATTTCAAGCATCTGCGGTGAGTAGTTGCTGAAAAACTGCGACCAAAATTTGTTATGTATGGTATGGACAGACGCACGGATAAACAGGAAGGTGACATTGGAATTGTAAAAAAAATGAATCGCACCATATGACATGCCTAAACAAAGAGTGTGCTAATATTTCAAGCATCTGCATTGAAAAGTTGCTGAGAAAACTGCGACCAAAATTTGTTACGGACAGACAGACAGACACGCAGATGGACAGACACACAAGGGTAAAACAGTATACCCCCCTCTCCTTCGGAGCTGGGGTATAAAAAGAAAATTATTTAGTAAACCTTCATGGTAAATTAAAGACAAATCAATTCATTGTAAAAATGAACATTTTATACAGAAATCATTGTCATTTATTCATTTTTTTTCAACAAAGGATCATTTTATCATCTAATGCATTGAGAATGATTACAAAAAACAAGGGTTCCATGGGCCACAATGCTCACCTGAGTAACTAATGCCCCTTCATCAGCAGATTCCTTTAATATATATTCTTATGTAAAACTTTGATCACATATTGTGGCACAACCCTACCCCAGGGGGTCACGATATGAATAAACTTGAATCTACACTATCAGAAGATGCTTCCATGTATAAACATTGTTGACTTCTCATGACTGCTGTTATTGAAAAGATTTTTCCTATATATTCCTATGTAATACTTGATCCTTCATTGTGGCTCCACCATGTCCCTGGGGGTCATGATTTGAAAAAAAAAATTGAATGTACACTACTTGCAGATGCTTCCACATAAATATGATTAAACATGGCTTTGCTGTTCGTTCTTGAGAAGATATTTAAAGATTTTGCTGATGTATTCCTATGTTAAACTTTTATTGCCCATTGTTGCCACACCCTATGTCTGGGGGGGTCATGATTTGAACAAAACTGAATCTAAAGTACCTGAGGATGCTTCCATATAAATATGACTAATCTTGGCTTTGCTGTTCCCGTGGAAAAAGATTTTTAAATATTTCTCCTATATATTCCTATTAAAATTTGAGTAAATGGAGTATTAATGACTAGTCCTAACAATACATTGTAAATTCCTCATTAACTAAGATGTGTAATTTCACATACATTTAAAGTGGATTCCATGCCATGACTTACAGGTAACTTCATTATTAGCTTGCATACAGATTTGGAAAGGCCCTGACATCTAGCGCTTTTAACAGAAAAGCCCTCTAATCTACGACACTGAAACACTACTACTCATAATGGCAAACAGAGCTTTTCTAATGAAATTAAACTTGAAAATATGACCTGCAAATTCTTTTGTGAATGTGAATTACTTCTGAGGAACTGTGTGCTTAAATGTGATGTTAATGCAATTTGCTTCTCAACAAAATTACTGTAATTTAAATCAAGTAATTTAAAAGAAGTGTAGAGGTACTTGTACTTTTAAGGGGGGAGACAGAAACTGTGATAAAGTTCAGTTATGGAAATTTCAGTACAACTCTTTTAATAAAAGACAGCTGATTATCGTAATCTTTCCACTCTTGAATGAATGGATTCACATCAAACTTGACACAGAGGTCTTACCTAGTCTGTGTGAGGTGCAACTTCTTGATGCTGACAAAATTTATACATTGTATCAATGTATTTCTCAAAAGAAATACAGAAAATGCACCGGAGAAACATCTTGTCTGATATAAAAATATGTGTCTGTACAATCCATTTTCAATTCTTGAGCAATGTGAGAATTGTGTTGGTTTTTCATGTGGAGGCACACTTGTATGAATCAAAAATGAATACCTTCATTTTCCTTGTGGCATTGAATTCCTTGATCTTTTCGTGAGTTTCTGGCATATGCTCACTCTTGGCTGCCACACCCTGGACCCACTTGTGGTTGAGGGCCTGGACCTCCGTCAGGCGTTTCTTTGGGTCCAACTGAAGCATCTTTCTGACAAAGTCCTGAAAGATTAATCTCCTTTGTTATTTTATAAATGTGGAATTTCAACACCAAGAAATTAATGCTTACAGTGAAATCAACCATATCATAAACACTGCTGTAATATTGCTGTGATGCTTATTACAATTAGGTCATTCCAAGTTTTTTCTATGTTTAGTGTATGCATACACCTTGGTTTTTGACACCCAATATCAGAAAAACAAACAAAATCAGGAGTCCTGAAATTGATTATTCTGATTGAAATATTTGAATTCTGTCATTTTCTCTAAAGATCTGTCTACATTATTTCATATTAGGTATATTTTAAGCATTTAATACCTTGATTTTGCTAAAGAAAAGATCTTGTATGAGAAAAATATATTTATGAAATCCAATCCTTTGACTGACGTCAACTTTATGACCATAAAGTCTTTGTTTTATTTTTTGGCTTTTGTGTTTTTTTGCAAATAGGTAAGTAGGTTTTTGAAAGATGGGTAGACACTAAATATAGAAAAAACTTGGAATGGCCTTATTTTTTATTAAAACAACCAGAGCTGACACACATCAAATTTTAATATCAGTTGTGTTAAGTAAAAAAATGCCTTAACACTATCCTAGACCAAAGTCAGTCAAAAATAAAATGTCAGGTGCAGCATGCAAGCATCAGACAAAACATTATTAAATGCACCATATGTATAAGTCTTTCCAAATGCTTGTGATAAGCTGTAAATAGACATAAATGCTAACTTGAAGAGTAGTCAGTCAGGACTAAAATGTAGGTCATTTGCTGTGTCTGTGCATGCTTCAGATCAGCATCCTTGGATGCTCGTATGTTTTAGTTTGGATAAGCTGAGCACAGACTCAAGTACTGATCTTACTCCTGAAGCATGACAGGTAAATCAGATACAGCATCTGGAGCATCACACAAAGTATCAATCGATGCTACATCTGGAGCATCACACAAAGTATCAATAGATGTTACATCTGGAGCATCACACAAAGTATCAATAGATGCTACATCTGGAGCATCACACAAAGTATCAATCAATGCTACATCTGGAGCATCACACAAAGTATCAATAGATGCTACATCTGGAGCATCACACAAAGTATCAATAGATGCTACATCTGGAGCATCACACAAAGTATCAATAGATGCTACATCTGGAGCATCACACAAAGTATCAATAGATGCTACATCTGGAGCATCACACAAAGTATCAATAGATGCTACATCTGGAGCATCACACAAAGTATCAATCAATGCTACATCTGGAGCATCACACAAAGTATCAATAGATGCTACATATCAGCTAGTTTGGAAATCCCTAAACTGAAAAGTGACCTTAATGCTGTGATTATCTTTACAGACATAGTGATTTCAGAATAACCCCCCTCCCCAACCAAACTTCATTGCAGGGAGTTTACAATATATGACCTAAATATGGATTAGGCATGTCATAAATCTTGTGTTTAACTGTCTTGCCTTGGCATTTTCACTGATGTTGTTCCAGAATGGTGTGTGAAATTCATATTCTGCCTTCAGAATTTTCTTGTACATTGTCCTCTCATTTTCACTGTAAAATGGCTCATAACCACATAACCTGAAAAGTAAACAATTTATGAACTTGTGCAAAATTAAGGAAAAAATGCATCACATGTAGAGGGCATTACACAGAAATTGTTTTATCTAGGATTATCTGTTTGAGCTCAAATCTAGGGATTTTATCACACTACTAAACATTACATTTTTGTATTCACTTTTCTTATTTTGTATTTCATTTAATTGTAACTGTTACTGAAAAATTCTAACTTTGTTGAAGTACCTATGATGTAGTGGATAGTATAAATTTGATGGTCCCCTATGATGTGGTGTCTGATTTACTGAATGTGTTTGATCACTCATTGTAATGTGGTACCTGACTTATAGGATGTGTGATGTCTCACTTTGAAGTGATATGTCCGGACTTATAGGATGTGTATGATAATCCAATTGGTTCCAGACTTAATGGATTGTGTTTATTGTTTCACTGTAAAGTGGTACCTGACTTACAAAATGTGTTTGATGACTCAGTGTTATGTGGTACCTGACTTACAGGGTGTTTGATGACTCAATGTTATGTGGTACCTGACTTACAGGGTGTTTGATGACTCAATGTTATGTGGTACCCGACTTACAGGGTGTTTGATGACTCAATGTTATGTGGTACCTGACTTACAACATGTGTTTGATGACTCAATGTTATGTGGTACCTGACTTACAGGGTATTTGATGACTCAATGTTATGTGGTACCTGACTTACAGGGTGTTTGATAACTCAATGTTATGTGGTACCTGACTTATAGGCTGTTTGATGACTCAATGTTATGTGGTACCTGACTTACATGTGTTTGATGACTCAATGTTATGTGGTACCTGACTTACAGGGTGTTTGATGACTCAATGTTATGTGGTACCTGACTTACAGGGTATTTGATGACTCAATGTTATGTGGTACCTGACTTACAGGGTGTTTGATAACTCAATGTTATGTGGTACCTGACTTATAGGCTGTTTGATGACTCAATGTTATGTGGTACCTGACTTACATGTGTTTGATGACTCAATGTTATGTGGTACCTGACTTACAGGGTGTTTGATGACTCAATGTTATGTGGTACCTGACTTATAGGGTGTTTGATGACTCAATGTTATGTGGTACCTGACTTACGACATGTGTTTGATGACTCAGTGTTATGTGGTACATGACGTACAGGATGTGTATATATAATGTCTCCCTGTAATGTGGTTCCTGACCTGTGATAACCCATTTTAATGTGGTACCTTACCTACCGCTGAATTCAATAATACAATGTTATGGGTTACCTGACTTAAAAATGTGTTTCTTGACTCTATGTTGTGTGGTACACGACTTACACGTTGTGTAAGATGACTCACTGTAATCTTTTATCTGACTTACAGAATTATGTGATGTTATGTGGTACCTGACCTACAGGATCTTTGTGATGACTCATTGTAAAGTGGTACCTGTCTTATAGGTTGTTTGGCAACTCATGTTAATGTGGTATATGACTTGCAGGTTGTGGCTGATGACTTACTGTGGAACCTGACATACAGGACATATGTGATGATTCAATGTAATGTGTACCCGACTTAGTGGATTGTTTACAATGTAACACTGTAATGTGGTGTGGTATCTGAATTACAGAATGTGATTGATCACTGTAATGTGGTACCTAACTTACAAGATGTTTGGATAGCTTACAGGATGCAGGCAATAACTTACAAGATATATGTGATGACTCCAATGCTCCACATGTCTACAGGATAAGAGTATGGTCTACCAGCCAGAACCTCAGGGGCTGGAATGAGTTATTGCCCATAAATACAAAGTTAGAGGAGTAAAATATTCATATTGACTAAATATTTCAAACCAGATATGCAGTTGTGAGCTAAACAAAATGTAAATCAAAATGACATTAAAAGGAACTAAGGTAATACATTATAACAAGAATAAAAACTTATATACATGGTATTTTAAATATCAAGTTTGTCATTGCAATAAACTTGTACATGCATATCACTGTCTACTCAAAATGTGGCTACTCATTTCTGAATAAGTATCAAATACTTGTACCTCTGACCTGAATTCATATGCTGTAAATATTTTTCATTGTCCTCAAGTACCATATATTTTAGATGATTTTGAGTGAATAAATGAACTAGAACTCAGTTTCCCTATTAAATTGAAACTGTTTGCCTGCTTGTTTATGATTGAATACTGTGATCTTCATATTTCATTGTTAATTATTCATCTAAATGCAAATTCTTCCAAACCATATGTCAAAAGTAGGACTAACAGAGTCTGTCTGTGTGTTTGTCTGTCTGAACTCACCACAATATCCGGGGGTCCCACACACTGTGTTCATTGTCACCTCTCTTTCTATGATTTTGGAGAGACCAAAGTCAGCTGAAATAAAGTTAAAATGAAAGAATCTTTTCCACTAAGGCTAGACATGGCATTGCACATATCAACATAATACTGATATCTAATTCCATGCATTTATGTCTTTCAAAATTCACAAAATAGGATGAATTCATTAATCGATTGAAATTTTCCTATATTATTCGTGTTAATTCAAAATTTGTTTACCTACCAACTTTGAGATTGGATTCATCAGTTAAATCTTCATACAAAAGGTTTTCAGGCTGAAAAATATTTTAGTGCACTCGTGAACAAATGTTTCTGACTTTCTGTCACAGATATTTCTCTTTTGATTGTTCTTAATATATTATTTTCAAAGAAAGATAAACAAACTCAGTCAATACAAAGCAGAGAACATATATATCAATGAGAAGTGTGTCCTATTTCAGTAGATAGCCAATGAGAGATAGGAAGTTGTGAATGCCTTGATTGTTATGCATAATATTATAAACATATACGAGATCACTCTGACATAAATGATCAACATAGTCAGTTTGGGGAGAATTTCATCTGTCTATAAGAGGTATAAATTGCAGCCAGTGTATAACATATGACTATGACATGGAATTATTCTAGTAACAATTATATAAACAAGAATGTAAATCTGCAAATGGACAGAGCCAGTTGGTTTGTTTGCTGGTGATGCAGGTAAGAATGATACCATCGACAGTCTAGTGAAATAAACTTGTTCACAAACCTTCAAATCTCGGTGTACAACTTCATTCTCATGCAGATACTGTAGAAAAGAAGAACAGGTACATAAAATGTTAGGCATTATCAACAATTTTTTAATATACATGTATTAATATTGCTGATAGTTTATTTTCTGTGGTTGGTTCAGACCTCACCTTGACTGCAACAAGCATTTGTTGGACAGCTTTAGAAGCATCTTTCTCTGAGTAGTAACCACGATTTACAATTCTGTAACAGTCATCAAATTAATAAATCATGTTCTAAAAACATTGACAAAGGATAAAATATCATTTTCATGTTGTTCTCCATTTATAATGTATTACCTGTCAAAAAGTTCACCTCCTTTGACCAGCTCAAGAATAAGATAGATGTCTGTGGGGCTCTCATAGATCTCTTTTAGCCGAATCTAGGAAACGAAGGTTACACTGCTCATTGTTGCAACATAGTGACAATATTTTGTGCATAAACTAGAAATAAAGTTTTATATTTTCAATTTGAAACCAATGTTTGTCTATCATTTGTTTAAACATATACATATTCAAAATATAAATTATTAAGATATTTTTTCATAGATTTTTAATTTACTCCTCATCTTTTTTTTCCTCAGAGAATAATCATATGGAAACAATTTAAAGCAGACTTTTATATCATTTATATACAAGTTAATATAAATACCACATTCTTGTGCTTCAGTTTTAGGAGGATTCCAATCTCTGAGTTAATGACTTTCTTGTCCACCTGTCAAATAAACACAGTACTGAGCAATGAGGAGGGAGTTTACCCATTTATATTCCTGTAAATCATCAACTTTAACTTTGTACTTTTGTATTGTGTGCAGCATATACATTCAAAAAGTAGGCCATCTATAGATCATGTACTAATTAGTACAATGAAGAATATTCAGTAAGACTTAGTGCAGTATATCTTTAAAACTTTATATTCATCAAATGTAAGTGAACTCATAAATTTTACTCAATACTGCATAATAAACAATGTGGTATGCACTAAAATATGGGTTAAATACACATACAGTATTTGTTAGACATGCAGAAAAACAGATGCATTACATGTACTTCATTAAAATCCCATTAAAGTGGTACAAAATAAGGATCTTCTTGATCTATAAATTTGTGGTAGATATTGATATGGAAACAAAGACACAGCTTATCTGAAATAGAGTGTTAATATGTTGACGGTGCGACCGTTGGGGCGAGCGCAGTGTTCACTTCATTATTATGATCCGCCTCTTCAAACCGCACGAGACATTTGGAACGTCTAGACTGTGACGTCACATGACGTCGTATATTAGCTGCATTTCCATAAACAAAGTTTAAAAAGTGCAAATATTTTAACAAAGAACGTTTAATCTACTATCTGCATGCAATATCCATTAAATTAAAGTGAGTTTATTTTGTGTGAATTTTTAGTTGTTGTCACCGCGTGAACAAATTAAATTAGCAGCGAGAACAAGAAGCGATGCATTGTGGGTCAGAATTACTGCGGAAAAAAATTCTATTGAATGAATGTGCAGTAGCCCGAATTTTCTCTTCGCCCAGGCGTTGTCGTTAGAGCTTGCAGTGACGAGCAGCACTTTGCGCCGCTCGCTGCGCTCTCTGTAAATTATATGCATATATACATGTAGTTTTGCTCAATTGATGTAAAAAGATGCAGTTTACAGGGCATTTAGAAGCTGGGAATTCTCTTCAGTTTTCATTGTTTGTTACTTAATCAATTAGCACTTTGTGTTTTCTTTCCTCCATTATTGTCAATGAAGAGTGAGGTGTTTTTTCATAGTTAATTAAAACTTTAATCAACAAGAAGTCTTGAGCCAATGCTCACTAGTAATACCCCCGCTCTGATGTGTATTGTGAATATACACTATAAGCATGGATAAACAGGAAGTTGACATCGGATTCATACAAAAATAAATCCACCATATATGGCATGCCTAAACAAAGAGTGTGTTAAAATTTCAAGCACCTGCAATGAGTAGGTGCTGAGAAAACTGCAACAAAAAATTTGTTACAGACAGACAGACAGACACACAGACAGACACACAAGGGTAAAACAGTATACCCCCCTCTCCTTCGGAGCAGGGGTATAATAATAAATTAGTTTTTTAAAACAAAATTTACCCAAGTTGCTTTTCTTGGAGGGGGGGACCTGTCTTAAATCTTGGGCCAGAACAAAGTGTCATTGGGTGTAAATATCTGGTAATTGGAGGGTTTTGCCCCCATTCCATGCTCGCCGTTTCTTGCCAAGTGGCTTCATCCTGTTTTTACTGCAGGTATATATCGGTTTAAGACTGGGTTTTGCCCTTATCAAACACATACAAATAAGCTGAAGATATAATACCCGGTACATGAAATTGGACAACAGATCAATTAAATAATGATTTTTTTTCCCCAAAATTACTAACTTGAAAAATAATTTACAAAAGTTTCACTACTGTTTATAAATATAAATGAATAAATTCATGTTATTTCAATCATGAAATTTTATAAATAGTTTTATTAATATGGAGTTTTAAAAAAATATTATCACTTTCAGTTTTTCTGCTATGGATGCAGCTAGCCATGGCAAATTTGTTAGAATGATAAAACTGGAAATATATTGCAAAATGAAATGATCTACCTCCCCTTTCTTAGTTTAATAAAACTGCTCATCTTTAATCTAAAAATTGCAATGATCAAATGCAGTCCAACAAACATTTTCTAATATAAGGATACAATATTATTTCGGCAGAAGCACTTGGAGCAGATCCACTCATGGTAAGTAGGTAATCAGGGCAAATCCACTTAGGGTGAACTGGGGAATCAGAACTGAACTACTCAGATTCAAATGTCCCTGAGTCGAGGTATCCTTTGGATGATAAGTCTGATGTTTGTGCAGACATTTGTGTAAATGAATGTTTATTTAGTTCTTAATTGTGAAAGTAAATTAACAGTAATTTAAGTGATACTGGTATTATTAGGAATAATACTGACCCTTTTGTGGATAATTTTGGCAGCCCATTTCTGTTGTGTCCCTTTTTCCTCAACTTTGACCACTACTGATGTTGCACCTCTTTAAAAAAAAAAATAAAGACATAAAAGATGTTTACAAATATTCATATATTTAAATATGAGGATTTTCACCTGCATATATATCATTATATACAAACCTTATTCACAAACATCAACGTAAACTGTAACATAATGTTTTTACCTAATTTATCCGGGGGAAAAATATTATATGACATATGCAACTAACGTAAATAAGATGTAAGTCGCTGTTACTACGGAAAAGGACGAGCACCTGTCTTGCACCTTTCTTACCTTCCAAGTTCAGTTAGCTGTAGGTAATAGTCCTCAAATCTTTTATCTTTAATGCTCTCATTTATCCAGTAGTCTTGCTTTGCCTCACGAGGCATTTTGTGACAAATTTACAGCGTTTTTGTTGTCTGGCTAATCAAGTTTTGTTGTTGCTCCGATAGGTCACGTGACTATACTTGCAATAATTTGGAACATCCCGATCCCGGGTTAATAAGAACCAGAGACTCTGGGAGAACTGAAGATAGTAATGGGGCGCAGGTCGCCCTAATTTCCCAAAATTAGATTACATATGTGTAAATATAAAGGAAAAAATGTCATGAAAAAAGGCACTCATGCAAAGATAGCATTACACGATTTTTACTTTTCAGTCAATGATTACATGTCTTTATTAGATTTTAGTGTTCAGTTAAATAAGTTATAAAAAGTTAGATACTTGAAGCCAAGTACTTTTTTTCTCTCTTTTTTTTTTTTTTTACTCATTTGATTTTGATCATGAAGTCATCTTTTGTTTACTCATCAGTGAAAATGGGCTTCTGGAATGTAGGGGGCCTTTTAAGCAAATCATACAATAAATTAAATGACACAATTTTTCTCAAACAGATAGGAGAATTTGATATTATATTCCTGGCTGAAACTCATGTTGGTCATGATCAATGTATCCACAAGATAGGAAAATAGTACAGTCACTTTGTGTGTAGATCTGCATCAAAGCATAACAACAGAACTTTTGGGGGGTTAGCCATGCTATGCAAACCACATATAAAGATTTTAAAGAATAATCTGATTTTCAGTGAATAAAGTTAGAGAAAAAAAATTTCAATTTTGATCAAGATTTATTCATCTGTGTATTGTATAACCCCCCGGAAAATTCATCTTATTCCAAAAGTATTGACTATGATATTCTGGAGTGCATTGAAAAAGACATAGCTCATTACAAATCATTGGGTAATATTCTGTTATGTGGAGATTTCAATGCAAGAGTTTCTACTGAACCGGATTTCATTGTAAATGATGATAATAACTTCATTCCTCTTCATTGAAGATACAATGCTGACATACAGATTATTAATCGACATAATTTGGACTCTAAATTAGATAATAGAGGCAAAGCATTATTAGATCTCTGTATATCAAATCAATTGAGAATATTAAATGGTCGTACCTTCGGAGATACAGTTGGTAGCTATACATGTTTTACGCCAAATGGATGTAGCACTGTTGACTATGTATTGGTTTCAGAAAATATACTAAACCAAATATTGTATTTTAGAATATCAGAATTTTCACCTACATTGTCTGATTGCCACTGTTTGTTGCAATGGTCACTGTCTGCTAGGTTTTGTCTGAAATCTGATATGGATGATGTCAATTCAAGCCCTGTATCACCAAACTATATATGGTCTGATGAGTCTTCTGCTCGTTTTGAAGCTGCTCTTAATTCGGAGGACATTCAAAGAAAATTACACAATTTTTTAAATGGAACTAATCTTGATTCTCCCTCATCAATTGATAATGCCACAGTAGAATTATCAAATATCATAATTAATACTGCAGATAAGTCCCTTCAAAAATGAAAAAAAAAATCGCAAAAAGTCCAACAGAAACCAAAAAAGATGGTTTGATTCAGACTTAAACTTCATGAGAAGAAATTTATTTAGCTATGGAAAGATATATTCTAAGTACCCCAAAGATCCTGCGGTCAGAAATCACTATTACAAACTCTATAGAGAATATACAAAAACAAGGAAATACAAAAGTCGTCAGTATAGGCAATCTCTACTAAAACAGTTGGAAACTCTACATGAAGAAAACCCAAAATCTTATTGGAATTTAATTGATAAGCTGCAAGGTACTGAAAACACTAACAGATCAGGGGCGTAGCTTCCATTGTGGCAATGAGGCAACTGCCTCACTAGATTTTTCACCACCACCACCGTTTCCATAATCAACAATGCATTGCAGATTGCAGATACCTGTGTAGGTAAAATTAATAGTATTTCTTTTAACATTTTAAGCAGTTCTATAATGCTGAATTGAAGTTTTAAAGAAATAAAAGCAAAGTTTAATAAGATGCGCTTTCACCTTTAAATGTTTCAAAAGTTTTAATAAAAATATTTATTAACTCTTTTACATTCTTTTACAATATGCAGTATCATGCTGAAGTCTTAAAAAAAGAAACCAGTACAGCAAATGAAATTTCATTGCATTTTAAAACCCCCAACTCCATTTTCTGTCGGAGTGCCCCCCCCCCTCTCCCATGACAACATCCGGAACCTGCTGGGGGCTTAAGGCGGCCCCAGATCTCTTGCTGCTACATGTATGGTTTTGCTTCACTAGAATTTTAAGTCAAGCTACGCCCCTGCAGATATGAGGCAATTGACCGATCCACCTGGGTCTCCCGCTTCCAAAATTTAAACCAACCAAAATCCAAGTATGCTCAACGTCTGGCACAGCTTGACACTATTCTTACAGATTTGGAAAAAGAAAAATGTTTCAGTGAACTTGATAATCACATATCTATAGCTGAAATTTCGAATGCCATCTCAAAATTAAAAAATGGAAAAGCCCCAGGCCTGGACAATATCTCAAATCATATGATCAAATGTGGTCAAACTTTTTTATTGCCATGTTTTTATAAAATATTCAACAGTTGTCTTACTTTTGGATATTATCCAAAACCTTGGTCTTCTGGGTACATTATTCCTATTCATAAAAGTAATGACAGTTCTGATCCAAACAATTATAGGGGCATTACAGTTACAAATGCAACAGGAAAGTTATTTAATAAAATACTTGACATCCGCCTGGATAAATTTTTAGAAAAATATCATATAATAACTGATTATCAGATCGGCTTCACTCGAAAAGCAAGAACATCAGACCATATGTATATACTTAAGACAATTATTGATAAGTATTGCAATACTAAGGATGGTAGAGTGTTTGCCTGCTTTGTTGACTTTCAAAAAGCCTTTGATACTGTTAATCCACACTGGTATCAAAATTAAACTCCTCAGAATCGGTGTGGGTACAAATTTTTATCAAGTAGTCAAAAGCATGCATACATCAAGCAAATCCTGTGTCCGTATCGGTAATAAGATTACAAACTTTTTCCCAATAACATTGGGTGTGAAGCAGGGTGACAATCTTAGTCCCAATTTATTTAAAATTTTTATTAACGATCTTCCAGATTATCTAAACTCAGCTACTTACCCAGTTTATATAAATTCAAATTCAATTAAGTGCTTGATGTATGCTGATGACATAATTTTACTCTCCTCTACAGCAGAAGGTTTACAGCAAGAACTTAATATTCTACAGCAATACTGCAATGATTGGTGTCTCAATATTAACACATCTAAAACTAAGATTATTGTTTTTAACAAAGCAGGTAGGCTCACCAAAACAAAATTTTACTTTGATGATGTTGAACTGGAATGTGTGTCTGAATACAAATATCTAGGTGTAACATTTTGTTCCTCTGGCTCTTTCTCCTTTGCTCAAAAGGAGCTTTATCAAAAAGCATTAAAATCATTTTTTAAACTCAGAAAAAATTTCATATCCCTGAATCCTGACATTAAAACCACTATTCACATTTTTGACCATACTATTAAACCTATTTTACTGTATGCATCTGAAATTTGGGGTTATTTTAACCCATTTACTAAAAAAAAAAAAAATAGCATCCCCAGCTGTACTATTGAAAAAGTATACTCCAACTTAATTTGTGAAAAACTTCACTTGAAATTTTGCAAATCAATACTTAGTGTGCATAAATCTGCAACTAATTTTGCTGTTTTGTCTGATTTGGGTAGATTCCCCTTGCACTTTGACATTATATGATCAATGATAAGTTACTGGTATAGACTTGAAAATCTAGGCCAGTCTTTTCCACTTTTAAAAGATGCATATTATGAATCCAAATCACTGTTTGACAAGAATATTCCTTCTTGGTACAGCTCCATTAATTTTCTTCTCACCAGTATCAATGGCATTCGCGATTTAACTTCAGTAAAAAGACATAAATTCAAACGTGCACTTAAAGATTGTTTATTTAGATACTATATACGGGAATGGAATTCACAACTGAAATCAAATTCTGACAAAAAACTAAGTTGCTACAGTACTTTTAAACAAAATTTTGGTCAGGAAAAATATCTAAATTTACTGAAGAATTTTGATCAGAGGAGAAGCTTTACACGTTTTCGCATATCAGCTCACAGACTTAATATTGAAAGGGGAAGATATATAGGCATTCCTAGAGATGAAAGACACTGTACTAGATGTAACAACAAAACAGCTGATGACAAGAAACATTTTCTTCTTTCATGTAATCATGTTAAATATGAAAGAAATGTCTTGTATGAATTAATAAACAAATCCTGTAAGAATTTTCACAACTTGGACAGTGATAATAAGTTAACTTGGCTTATGACCAATGAGGATGTGCAAATACTAATTCAAGTTAGTAAAATGATTCTGAAAGCTGGAATATAAAATATTAGTAAATTTATTAAGGTCTATTCTATGTAGAGTACATAGTTTTTATATGTTACTGTGTTTTCCCCCTATATCCTTTAAAAGTGAAATGATTCATTGAGTGCCTTGAGTACTTATAGGGCACGGGTTTGCCAGTAAAATTGACTGTGCAGAGGCATCGTCCCCTGGTACCCTCTGTATTCAAGCTACCTTTTCTACACTAAACAATAGTATAAATATTACTTATTTACTGTTAAATATAATGGTATATTTGTGTATATATGTGTATTATAACAATGTATGTAGGCATGCATATGTATGTACAACTGTGTATATGTATGTGGGTATGTAACTATGTATTTTATACTAGAATGTAAAATACCTATAATCACTTTAAAAAAGGTTGAATTGAGTAGGTACATAATTATATGTTAAGTATTTTTTATATATGTTATTAGTTTTGCTATCACCTAAATGATTCTGAATGAGTAGTGTCTTGAATACTTAGGGTACAGGTGTGTCAGTAAGATTGACTATGCAGAGGCATCGTCCCCTGGTGCCCTCTGTATTCAAGCCACACTATATACATGTATTAGCATACTGCTATTATTGTCAATTTCTTTATCTTCCTTCAGTTTTCTTCCTACTCAATATTTTTGATCCAGTTTCATACTATTGTGATTATGTTGCAAATCTTGCATTTTCATGAGTATCCTACTCGTGGTATTGTGCATCTTTCATTTGTACCCTCATGATAGATATGATTTATATTCGTTCATATTACAATATACTTTAATATTATTTATATGTAATCATTCTGAAATAATTGTATATGCCCCCTGAGGGCCCTTGATTGGTAAAAAAAACATATATATATATATGTTATGATGTATATCACAGTACTCTCTTTAGAGAAGTGGACAGGCTTTCGCCTACGGATGTAGGCGAAAGCCTGTCCACTTCTGTAAAGAGAATAATATCACAGGAGTTCTGGTGTTAAGGTGGGACTCTATTAAAAACATTTTCTCACTAAAGATGCCACTTTAATTGTCTCAGAAAGTCTTTTAAACACTTCACAAAGCCTCGGAAAGTGAAGAAGAATGACTTGATGCAGTTAAAAATTCCGATCGTGGATCGGCAAGAATTAAAAGCACCGTCTCTTCCATGGATGATAAAGCAATTTAAAGAAGTTCCTTGGGAAAAGAGGAGTGAAATGTCTAAAGAATATTTTTGTATAAAGGAAAATAAGTCCAAATTAAAGTAGCGTACGTTTTGTATGTGTGCCACTTTTTTGTCGATCATAAACCAGGTTAGTTTGATTTTTTAAAAACATTCATAAGATATCATGATTAAGAAGAAAACAAATGCTAAGCATAAAATGCTCGACTAAAATGAATGTAACAGAAATTCACATAGTTTTATAATATTTTTAAAAGATGCCAATGACCTGTATTATATATATATATATATATCTCCCTGAAAAATAATGTAGTTGCTTGTCTTCGTCATTTGCACACGAAAGTAAGTCATTGTGACTTAAAAATCGTGTATTTTTTTTTGGGGGGGGGGGCTAATATTATTACCAGAGTTATTTGAAAATCTATTCATTGTTATAAAAATGAGAAGACATGCATAGAAGCGAGAGGCATCATCAAACGCGATGAAAGAGGGTTTGGGGAGGCTTCAGTTCAATCACTGACACCGGCACAGCTCAATGAGGAGTTAAATGAGAAAATTTGCATATTTTCATTATTTATTCTAAAATGTGTTGTAGAGGGGATGTAAAGATCTACGCCTATAAAGATTAGTTATAAAGTTAAATCTTACTCATAAACTCCCTAAAATAAGACTTTCTTGGGGCTTTGCCACCCCATCCCCCCAGCACCCTGGGCTTCACCCTTAACTTAATGAATGCTTTAAGGTGGGCTCCAGATCAAGTTACAATATACATTTTTTTGAGGAAAATTCAATGACACCCCCTCCTCGCCCCATTGATTTCTTGTAAATTAGTTTGTTTAATTGCATGGATAATTAATTTTCTGAATTTTAAATCCAACCTGTGTAGGTACAGGAACTGAAGCTAGTATCTAGATGGGAGTTGAGGCCACATTCATTGCAGATATTTTATACAAGATGAAAGGTTCAGGAAAAGAACTTCATGTTCACGTACCAACTAAGCCTCTATTTGATAGTGAAACCTGCCATAGTTACCACCTGTATTTAGCGACTTCCTTTCATATGCAACCGTTAAATTTCCTTCCAAGAATTCTTCATAATTTACCTGTATTCTGCGACTCCCTGACGTACGCGACATGAAACATCATTTTCCGTCCTAAGGCATGCAGTTGAAGACTCTGGATTTAGCGACTTTCAGTTATAAAATGCTTAGCTTTTGCCCTTTCCCTCATTGTTTGCAAAAAACATTCTTATTAATGGAATATTCCACAGCGTGCTGATTTAGATATCAGCAGATGTTTCACACAAAGACACTGATATTTAAAGGGAACTATTTCTAAGAAGACTTCTGTTCTGAAAGCGATGTTTTAGAGGTGCCTCTGTTCAGCCACTGATAAAAATCTGTGAAAGCACTGACACCTGAGTAAGTTCTGTCAGACACTGATGTTTGTGATGGGGCCTCACCTCAGACAGTCTAAGAAAGCTTCAGTTCATACACCAATACCTGTACAGACACCGATTTTTGAGAGGGACCTCACCTCAGACACTGTCTGAGAAAGCTTTAGTTCATAACTCTGAAGCCTAAGGAGGCTTAAGCTTCTGTCAGACAGCGATGTTTGAGAGGGACCTCAATTCAGACACTGTCTGAGGAAGCTTCAGTTCGTAACTCTGAAGTCCAAGGAGGCTTAAGATTCTGAACAGACACGATTTTTGAGAGGGACCTCAATTCAGACACTGTCTGAGAGTTTCAGTTCATACACAGATACCTGTACAGACACCGATGATTGAGAGAGGCTTCAATTCAGACACTGTCTGAGCCAGAGGAAGCTTCGGTTCATACACTGATATCTTTTCAGATACCGATGTTCGAGAGCGGGCCTCAGTACAGACACCGATATAGATCTGAGAAGCTTCAGTTTAAACACCGATACCTGTACAGACACTGATATCGATGTTCGAGAGCGGGTCTTAGTTCAGACACCGATATAGATCTGAGAAAGCTCCAGTTCTTACACCGATACCGAGGAGGCTTCTGTCCGATATTTACATTCGAAGTAGGACTCAATTTCGACACCAATATCTGAGAATAACTCGATTCAGACAGGTATATCTGAGACTTCATATTTAAACTGGCTTCTACAGAAGTAGTGGTATACATATACATGTACTGTGATTTCTGAATTAGTCTTTTTTAAATTGCTGATGTTTCTAAAGTTTCTATGTAGAAAAAAGTTTCTGATATGACTTATACATATACCGGGTACACATAAATTATCTGTTTGAAGTTTTGTATAAACACTATTATCAGAATTATTGTGACATCTTTATGTGGTAATCACACTAGTTAGTTAAATGGTAGCCAGATAAGTCCATTAGTATAGCACCTGTCCGAGTTCTGATGACCCGGATTGAACACTGGCAGTGTAATCTGAAACCTTTTCTACCCGTTATGTTTACTCCTGTGGCATGCCATTGTCAGGTTTAAGGCAGGCTCAGTTGGTGACTTTTGGGGGAGGAATATGGTGGTCAGGCCCACACTGGTTGGCAAATATCTCAGTTGGTAATGTACCTGTCTCGAGTTTAAGGGGCCCAGGTTTGAATCCTTGTCTCGTCTGTTGTTTTCTACTTTTTTGTTACATTTATGCCTGTGGTATCAGTGCATAGATACTGTATAGGTGTTTATATCTGCTGAGGATGACTTTTAGTTTCTATTTCAATGTACATTCATTCAAGAGATACAACAAACATATCTTTCTTTTTTTTTAATTAAAACCATTAATGGCAGATTTGGTTAATTATGATAAAATGTAAAATATTACATTATAACAAGTTCCATTCTGTGCCTGATCCGACACACGAAAAAAATCCAGATCCTAATCCTGATCCTTTGGGATAACCACTCAGTTTAACCCCTCTCCCTGAGGATAATCCCACTTAAACTCTTCAAACAATGAAGATAACATTTCAAGTTATCCCATGAAAAAAAGTATCCAGACATAGAAATATATATTTAACAAAGTCGAAAACAATCATCACAAATGTAGCAAAATGAAGGGAAGATTCTATAATGAACAATGAAAGGTTTTGTTATGAAGACATCTGTTTATGAAACAGCTACTTCTAAAACACAGAAAAAATCATGCAAGACTGTGTATTGAAATTCTCTTGAACAAGCAAGAATTCTTTAAGGAAATTTCATCAGATCAAAAGTCACCTACTATTATACACACCTTTAGTTTTCTTTTATTTAGTAAATCATGGCAGACCAGCTGCCTCTTAATATGTGTTAAATTTTCAAAATGTTGAATGAATTTAAGTTTGTATTAAATTCATCAATCATACATAAAAAAAAAAAACTTTCAACATTTTTTCTCTTCTTCTGTGTACAATTTTATAAATAAAATAAATATTACACATTCCATTGACAATTATTAATCAGCAGTTGATATGTGGTTTTACAATAAAAAATACTTCATGTTTAAAATGACAGAACTACATGTACAGTTTGTCATTGACATTCAGCAGTCTTTTGTAATGGGTTGATTTCTAGTTCTTTGAAATGATATATGATATACATTGCCTATAAATGAACAAATATGAAAATCTATGTTAAATAACAAAGTGAGGGCCACATGTCTGTATAAAAAAAAAACAGGTTAAAAAGTTCTCAATTAATTTGGCAAAAAATCGCTATAAAAATTAAAGTCATAAAAATAAAGATCTTATTTAGTCTGGGAATGTTTGGTAAGGAATTTATTTCCTGAAAGATTACAAGAGGTCACATTAGCAATGATAACCCCTTAAAGAGTCAGAGATTGTCACCCTGGGGTATTATCCAAAGTCAGTCCATGTAAATGAAAAATTCACACCACCATCACTTTAGCATTCTAAAGTCTAAAACACGTGGCCTTTACTCACACTATTTAAATTTACACAAATCGAATATACATACAGCTCTTGAGTTTTTTTTTTTATATATATTTTACTCTTTTATTACCATGGAAAACCAAAAAGTGACTGAATGAGTAATAAACACAAAAGTCAATAAATACATCATCTACAAATAACAGGTTTTTAAAAAAAATGCAACACTCATACAGTGTGCTACTCATTGACCTCCATATATAAAACTTTCAACATTAATTAAAATAGCGACTAATTTTTCCATTAAAATTAAAACTCATTATGACCCTAACAGTGATGTGTATCTCAGATCTCCAAGTGTGCCAGCACTTGTTGTAAATTCATAATCAGTGGTAAATTTTGGCAACATGAAATATAATGATGACAAATCATACAAGGCAAGCTAATTGGACATCGTTTTTTTTTTTTTAAATCACGAACTACAGTTGGAACTTTCTATGAAGAAATATTTTAAAAATTGGTTTTGTTTGTTTTTATTGTTTTTGTTTTTTGCCTCCTCATATGATTTTGTGCCCACATATATCATGCTGCACAAATTTCTCAATTATCATTGAAAGATAATTGAAAATGTCTAATTGTGGAAATTAGGCAGTCTTTGGCTTTGACGAGTGAGGAAATTTGTCCATCCTTTCTGACATCATCAACAATAAGGTGATATGATGTGACGTTCCTGAGAGAAAAGACAATTGGTTGACTTTTGTTGGTATTATCCAACCAGATATACTCTACTGGAACAGGTCTTGGCTGGTTACCTGCCCCTCTTTAGTCATTTATAGTCTGGCAATTGTATGGCACATATCTATCATCTGAAAAATTAAGGCAATTAGAATCAGCAATTTTGCAAATACTGTAAAATCACTTAATTTCGTTGGGTCAAATTTTTCATGGTTTGAGGAAAAAATTTTGGTACATGAATACTGTATTATCTATGGATCTCTTTATACAACAAAATCCCCCCCCCCCCCAAATTAGTGAATTAACAAAACATAGAAAGATTATAATCATTCCGTTATATTATAATCATCGAGTTAAAGCAATATCAGCTGAATTTTTGAGCATTTTACTTTGCTGTTAAAATGTGGTTATGATAAATCTATACGTATAATTTAAACATTTATGATCAATTAAACTAAATTAAAGTATTAAATCTATTCAGAAGAAAGATTTCTGTACAATGGAATGTATAGTATTATACTAGAAATCAATACTGTACAGGATGACAAGAATGTAATTTTGCTTTAATCAAAGCTTATAAATAGTACTTCCATCGCAAATATGAACAACAGAAGTTTATTCAAGTTTTTTTTTTCTGCCATTGAAATAGTTGATTACAATACTGCAACAAAATTTACGACATCAAAGTTGCAGCTCATATTGCTTTAAAATAAAGCAGCTTTTTAATTTTTGAAAATCTCAATTTTATATATAATAGTTGGCACAAATAAATTTTAGTGCTGTAAAAGCATTACCGTAAAGTCTTTTAGTACAATCAAGGATATAGCTAAGTTTTTTAGGATCCTCAGCAAAATTCTTAAGATTTTAGTTATAACGAACTCTCATAAAGAAAATTTATGGATATAGTGAACTGATTTTAAAGTACTGGTTTGAAATAATGATATTTATATCTTCTATAAGAAATTTTTAAGACCTCAAATTAAAATTATTGAAGGGACATTATTTGTCATAAATATTAGTATTTAAAATTCAATTCATCAGACACTTTAGTAATCAAGTTAAGCTTTGAATATAATACTTCCCTGAACCTACTCAGTAGTCATACTTGAATGAAAACATGTATATTGCAAATCTACTTTATAGATTTTAACGATTTGTTAAATTGATATAAGAAATTATGGATATAGCAAAGTTTCGCAGGTCTCCAGGACTTTGCTATAACCAAGTTTTACTGTATCATACATTAACTTTATGTACGGTACCAATTAACATGATTAATACTCTTGTCATTAATTTACACATGTGAAAATGAAAAAAAGACTGACCTGTATTTTTACATATAGAAAATCCCACTGCCATTTTTCTGATGGCCGGGTTTTTCCTGAGCATTATTTTTGGCATCACTATTCTGTCCACTATCCACAGACAATGACTTCTGTCCACCATTGTTATTAGGAGTTTTCCCTTTTGCACCCGGCTCTGCCAATTTTAACACTCCACCCAACAGTGAAGAAGACGATGATGATTTCTGCTGTTGCTGGGGACGATTTGATTTGTAGAGATTTGACACACTTTGACTTCCTGTTATCTGTTGTGAAACTGATTTGCTTCCCGCATCTGCTAGTTTGAATGGTAGGACCTGTTGAACTCCTTTATTAGAACCAACAGTTTGAGAGAGTGGGGAGGGAGAGCCAGATTTCTTCTGTTCATTTTTAGCACTTAACAAATGTGCAGGCAGTTTCTGGCTCTTATTTCCAGCCAGTTTACTTGACACACTTGAAGAGAAACTTGCTGTAGCCTGGACCCCTCTGGGCTGATCAGGCCGTACAGGAAGCTCACGGCGAGTGGTTTTCATGTGTCCAGACTTTAGTCTCTCCAGATCGCCCTCAATCATGGAGCAGAAGTCAGCACTAGCTGAACGTCTGTGTGAATTCTGACTTGGAGAGTCAGGACAGGAGGCATTTTTGGGATCTGTTGAGCTGCTTCCCTTCAGATTTTCTTTATCCCTTAATACAACCCCTCCTTGGGAATTGACTGTTTTATCTACAGGGGAATCCCTATGAATTATCTTCTCTTGTTGCCACATGTCAATTTGTCTCTGGTAGGCTTCCTTCTGTCTCTTTAAATCCTCCTTCTTTGCAAGTAAGTCTGCCTGTAAATAGATATCAATATTCAACAATAAAGGAATATGAAAAATCATCCAGTCTGAATATATCATAATATAAAATGCTTTTCATTTTTAGAGTCAGTACAAAATGAAATAGAATCATATTAATCTACTGTGTCTTATGAAAAAAAAAAGACAATGGTTTTACAAAATTACACAGCAGTTGTAGCACATACTTGATCTTTTTCTAGCTGTTTGCGCTGTTCATCCAGTAGAGCCCGTTCTATGTTAATTTGCCTCATCTCATTCTCCCTTTGTCTGGCTAACACAGCTTTTTCTCGCTGGACCTGTTCCTGTATGTTACGCAGCTCCTCCAGTGTGTGGTGCTGTCTATAACTACCTCCCCGTTTATCATGAACCTCGGCAGACAGCTTGTTAATTCTCTCATTTGCATCTGCTAGCTGAGCCTTCAAAGATTCAACCTCAGTTCCATGTCTGGCTGTTAAATGCTGAAATGACAAGCAATGAGACTGTCAATATAATCTTATGTAAGAGATTTGCTTTAAAAGTGTTTAGAATTACTATAGTGTCATGGAAAATGTACCTGGGGTACTCATAAAATATTCAAAAATATGCTTATGCCATGGACAAGGACTTGGCATCCATTTTCACTTTCCACATTGGTTTTTTTTCCTTAAACATGCTTGCTTTACAGTGCCAGCTTTCCAAAGCAATGTCTTGGTTTGTAAATGCAGGAATATTTGATAATTTGCTCATAAATGAGACAAGAGGCCCATGGGCCTTGAATCGCTCTTCTGATAAACTGTACAACCTATCACTTCTATTTGAAGCCTCAAAGTATCCTGTATATTTACATAAACCCTTGAAATTCCAATTCACACTCTGAGAACCCAAGATGATTCTAAGCCAATTAGTACCTGAGAGTTGGTCATGGTGACCTACTTATCACTTGTCATTCTCTGAAGACCCACCAACTAAGTTTGATGATTCTAAGCCAATTAATACCTAAAATATTTTTTAAAATTATAATCATAAAATTTTATAAGTAGGTCAAAGTGACCTACTTTTCAATTGTTTTACTCCAAGGACCCAAGATGCATCAACTGACAAAGTTTGATGATTCTAAGCCAATTAGTACCCGGAATATTTGATTAAAGCCATAAATTTTCCGAAAGTAGGTCACGGTGACCTACTTTTTAGTCGACCTCCTCCGAAGACCCATGACGCATCAACTGACAAAGTTTGATGATTCTAAGCCAATTAGTACCCGAAATATTTAATTAAAGCCATAAATTTTCAAAAGTAGGTCACGGTGACCTACTTTTTAGTCGATCTACTCTGAAGACCCAAGATGCATCAACTGACAAAGTTTGATGATTCTAAGCCAATTAGTACCCGAAATATTTAATTATCGCCATAAATTTTCAAAAGTAGGTCACTGTGACCTACTTTTTAGTCGACCTACTCCGAAGACCCAAGATGCATCAACTGACAAAGTTTGATGATTCTAAGTCAATTAGTACCCGAAATATTTAATTAACGCCATAAATTTTCAAAAGTAGGTCACTGTGACCTACTTTTTAGTCGACCTACTCCGAAGACCCAAGATGCATCAACTGACAAAGTTTGATGATTCTAAGTCAATTAGTACCCGAAATATTTAATTAACGCCATAAATTTTCAAAAGTAGGTCACTGTGACCTACTTTTTAGTCGACCTACTCCAAAGACCCAAGATGCATCAACTGACAAAGTTTGATGATTCTAAGCCAATTAGTACCTGAAATATTTAATTATAGTCATATAAATTGAAAAGTAGGTCACGGTGACCTACTTTTCAGTTGACCTTTTTTGAGGACCCAAGATGCATCAACTTACAAAGTTTTATGATCATAGGACTTAAAATGTCCAAATTATGCCTCTAAAACGCTTTCAAATCGAATGCCTGCAAAGTTCAAAAAGTAGGTCACTGTGACCTACTTTTTAATAAAAATGTTTTATGGCCCCAAGATGCATCATCTTACAAGATTTAATGATTCTAAGCCTCCCCGTATTCGAATTAATGACCTTAATTGTTTTAAAAAAGATTAGCCATAAAATTCAAAAAGTAGGTCAAGGTGACCTACTTTTTAGTTGACGTACTTTGAGGACCCAAGATGCATCAACTGACAAAGTTTGATGATCATAGGCCTTAAATTGTTCAAAATATGCCTCTAAATCATTTTGAAAAAGAATGGCCGCAAAATTTAAAAAGTAGGTCACCGTGACCTACTTTTGAGTCAACATGATATGAGGTCCTTAGATGCACCAACTGACAAGATTTGATGATCCTAGTCCTTATAGTAAGCAAAATATCAACATTTTAATAAAATGTAATTTTTGGTCAACTTTGAAGTGACCTTGAGACCACGCCCTTTGCCCCAGGGTAAATCCCCGTGCAAATTTTAATCTACAACATATCCTCATCCTTTTGTGTAAGTTTGGTGATAATCTGCGCAGTGGTTCTTGAGAAGAAGATTTTTTAGCAACCAGTACTTTTTTTTCTATTTTCCTAATTATCTCCCCTTGTTAAAGGGTCACAACCCCAATTTTAGTATAAAACGGAGCCCTTGGGCCAAGGATACCCTGTGACAAATTTGACAATAATTGGCCAAGGGGTTCTTGAGTTATGGCCCATATTCTAAAAAGTTTACGCACACCGCACACCGCACAAATGGCCATAGCATTAGCTCTTTGAGCCTTTGGCTCAGAAGAGCTAAAAACACAGACTAAACACAATACTGTTGAGGGAGGTTGAGAGCGTATATTACACAGACCCACTTATCACAAAACTGTTGAGGGAGGTTGAAAGCATTGACTACTCAGACTTACCACATTACTGTTGTGGGAGGTTGAAAGCATTGACTACTAAGACTTACCACAATACTATTGTGGGAGGTTGAGAGCACTGACAACACAGACTTACCACAATTCTGTTGAGGGAGATTGAGAGCTTTGACTACTCAGGCTTACCACAATATTGATGAGAGAGATTGAGAGCATTGACTACTCAGACTTACCACAATACTGTTGAGGGAGACTGAGAGCACTGACTACTCAGACTTACAACAATATTGTTGAGGGAGGTTGAGAGCATTGACTACTCAGACTTACCACAATACTGTTGAGGGAGGTTGAGAGCATTGACTACTCAGACTTACCACAATACTGTTGAGGGAGACTGAGAGCACTGACTACTCAGTCTTACCACAATACTGTTGAGGGAGGTTGAGAGCATTGACTACTCAGACTTACCACAATACTGTTGAGGGAGGTTGAGAGCACTGACTACTCAGTCTTACCACAATACTGTTGAGGGAGGTTGAGAGCATTGACTACTCAGACTTACCACAATACTGTTGAGGGAGATTGAGAGCATTGACTACTCAGACTTACCACAATACTGTTGAGGGAGACTGAGAGCACTAACTACTCAGACTTACCACAATACTGTTGAGGGAGGTTGAGAGCTGCTGCATTGTGGTAATGTGCTCCCTTGTCAGGATTGCTGAGGGCTGGGAGGAGTAGATCTCCATTACAGATCCAGGAATACTTTGGCTGTCATAGTTACAACTACTGCTGTCATTAGAGTCCATGTACATTGACTGCTGAAAACAACACAAACAATACAACTGAAATGTTGTACACAGGATAATTAACTGAATGTTAATATGAGCAGGAATGTAATTACTTAATCTTATGGGTAAAACATTCCAACTTCTGTTGGTTTCTATTTCAAGAAACACATGTATATACATGTACATATATGCAAACAACAATACCAGAAGGCCATTATAATTACAATTATTTTTAAGAAAAAGATGGTAACATTTCTTTTGTTCTTTCAATGAACTTGCTAATTCTGTCTTCTATTGCTCACTATAGATTTGTACCTGATCATAGGACAATTCCGAGTCACTGTCAGTTTGTGGAAGTTGACTTTCACTGTCCATCACCTGACTGTACCGTTTACCATTGTGACCTACATATAAATCTTACTATGTTAGTTTGAATTACCTATCTGAATTACAGTAAAACTTGCTTCAAAGGTACTCAGTTATACAAATTTCTAGCCTATGATGATTTATCTGATATTTCCCTTTCATTTCTCTTCAAAAACTTTCCAAGAGAAAAGAATCAGTTATAAAGATCTTGGATATAAATAAATCTTAGTTATAGCAAAATGAAATTCATGAAAAAATTGCGGAAATACCACACCTTTTGATAAATCAAATGTGGTGTCAAAGCCAGCAAATGTCTCTGCCCGTTTAGCCATTGGAGTGATTTGATACGATGAACTGACATGTTCTCCTACACTGCTGACGTGTCGCATCAGCTGATTGTGGCCTGAATCCCCACCCTCTAACATGTTGGTCAGATTAGAGGCTGTTACTGTCACTGTAATGGAAAATGTCAGGAATAAATAACTTACATATGAACCTGCACTAACTATAGTACCCATATAAATGAGCTGGTTTTTCACCCCCATTTTTAAGTTAAAAAAAATCACTGTGATCGCTTATATATGTACATATACATTTGAACTTTTAGGGGGGTTTATATGATAAATGCTGTATTCTGATTACCATGCTGTAATGCTGCCTGTAGAGCATCCATATGTTCCGAGCCCTCCTCTGACCCCATAGAATCTGGCCGCTGTCAAAAAAAAAAAATTAGTTAAGCTTCTATTTAATGAACAGAACTTGTGACAAGAAAGAAATTTTTGCACATGAAGATTAATTTCTTTCTTCTGATGCCACCATATTTCTGATATTCTGACTCAAAAGATTCCCTGCACAAAAATTAAAATTTTGTTCATGTGACCTTGAAAGCCACTGATTTTGGGCAACACTTTCTATACAAAATAAAGTTTTACAACTCATTATGCTCTGAAGTTACCTTCGTCTGGTCCCTCATGTTATAAATCTCCAGTAGTTCTATCATCAGTTGGTTCTTTGTATCACATACTGACTTAATCTCATCATCCTTCTTGTGTAATTGTTCTACAAAAAACAGGTATATTAAAATGATTTTTTTAGCTATGATTTATTTGATCTAGGCAGAGTCAGGTTTAGAACAGTTTACTGAGAGTTATGTCCCTTACCAATGATTTCTTTGATCTTCGCTGATCGAGCCTCCATTTGTCTCCTCTCCTCCTCGTCATCTTCCTGTTGCTCATACTCATCATCCGCTGGACATTTTTCTGATGCTGCCCTTATCTCTCGGATCCAAGCCTCTCTTTCACTGTTAGTGTTACACACAATCTCATACATTTCTGGGTTTAGCTTGTTCTGACTAATCAAGTAAATTCCCTTACTCTCTTTGGTGTCACTCTTCTCCCGGACCAGTAGCTCAAAGAGGGGTATTGCACATGACTATAAATAGAACCAGATGCTCAAATGGAATATTACACATACCTATAATTAGATCTAACAGCTCAAACACCATTATTGCATGAAATGCAGTTCAAACAGAAACACTACATAAATTCAATAACCATAAGTGAAACCAGCAGCTCACACAAAGGTAATGACCATAATTATAAATAAAACCAGCATTCTGGGTTCAACTTACAGAATACAGCAAGATCTGTCAAAATGCTGTTAGGGAAAAATAAGATATTAGGGTCATGAACCCTGCTGTCAGAATTACATTGTTAACTTACTTTATTGTCCTGAGAGAAGAATGTGTATTTGCCATTTTGTTCCTGCATGAAGAATATGAGATCTGTCAAAACGACCATGATTGCCTCTGAAAAGAAAATAAGACATAATGACAAATTAATGCTGAATTCTATTTACCAGGCTTTGGAGCATTCACAATATTCATTAGAGTATTTCAAAAGTTTACGCCCAAATTTTACCATCTCTTTTTCCTTTATGCTTCCAATGCTTTTAAAATAACAGAATCTTACCTGTAACTTTTCCTCGAGCACTTTTTAGACCGATTGTTCCTTCTTTCACAAGCTTGCGCCCATGCGAAGATATGTCTGATTTCTGAAGGAATATAAAAGTTGAAACTGATAAAACTCACATGAATTAAACAGATTTTTCAAATCTGACTTTACTGTGAAGTTTTCAGTTCAGAGCAAGAAAATATTTTGAAAATAAGGAACAGCAGAAGATATAAAAGAAAGAGTTCCAGAAATATGGTTTTTCTTGTTACTCCTGACCTTGAATTTCTTTCCTTTGTAGAAAGTGGTAGCTCTAGGGTCGAATCCTTCGTAGATTTCCCGTAACCTCTGTATTCTCTCCTGTTCATGTACTTGGTCGTCTACACTCTGTAAGATCTCCTTACTGAGCTGTAATGACTGACTGATGTTCTGTCGCTCCTCCTTCACTGTAAAAAGAATTCAAATCTGAAAACATTGGTGATTAAAGATTACAAATATCACTTCTATTTTCTATAGGAAAAGCAAAGTCTGTAGGTACTAAGGAATGGACCTGCTCTAAAAAAATTAACCTGGTCACCCCCATCCTGCAAGAAAAGGTCAGATCCAGCATCATAAACATGTATGGGAGTGTATATCCCTATATGCATCATTCTTGCAAGTTTGATCAATATGGGGTCAACAGTTTCTTAGAGAAATGGAATTGTATCTAATCACCTATCCGACATAGATAGGTCATATACAGTATTCGGCATCTTTGTAAGTCTAGTAATGTGAAGTCCAAGAGCCATCATCCATTAAGTTTGATTAGTGGAGGGCCTATAATTACTTGGGTATGGATCTCATTACCACATGCGATGCCTATGACTGGATTATAGCATAAGCTAATCTTAACTTTTTCAAGGTTAGCTGTCATACTACTATGAACTTGACACTGCCAGAAGCAGCTAATGTTCGAATTACAGATGCAATATCTACTTTTGATTCATGATGAATGATAATGTCAGTGAACTCTTTGTTTGAATGTCTACAGAGATGCTTATCTGAACTACCCGATTTCTTTCCCCAGTTATTTGACTTTTAGTGAAGTCACTTTGCCTTACCTGTAAGTAGTTCTTTTGATTAATGTATCGAGCAGTCCCAGGTACTTGGAGAGTCTCTGTGTGACTGCCTTACCTGTAGTTCTTTTGATTAATGTATCGAGCAGTCCCAGGTACTTGGAGAGTCTCTGTGTGACTGCCTTACCTGTAGTTCTTTTGATTAATGTATCGAGCAGTCCCAGGTACTTGGAGAGTCTCTGTGTGACTGCCTTACCTGTAGTTCTTTTGATTAATGTATCGAGCAGTCCCAGGTACTTGGAGAGTCTCTGTGTGACTGCCTTACCTGTAGTTCTTTTGATTAATGTATCGAGCAGTCCCAGGTACTTGGAGAGTCTCTGTGTGACTGCCTTACCTGTAGTTCTTTTGATTAATGTATCGAGCAGTCCCAGGTACTTGGAGAGTCTCTGTGTGACTGCCTTACCTGTAGTTCTTTTGATTAATGTATCGAGCAGTCCCAGGTACTTGGAGAGTCTCTGTGTGACTAGAAGAACAAAATCTGGTATCTCTCTCTTTTGCAGTAAAGGGTCATTATTGCACTTCTGCAAATATAGTAGATGACAGGAATATAATGTAAGTGGTAATACCATTGAAACACAGTAAAAACTGGTCCTATAATGACACAGAGTCTGTTTTAAAGCATGTCATGGAGAAATTCCAATCCGTACATATCTTACCTTGATAAAATTAAGGAATTTTCTGTCTTTTATGAGTAGGTCTTTATAATAAAGAACAGAGTCTTTGTGCCCACAGCAGAATGCTCCATAAGCACACTTCATCTTCTCTGCCGACTCTCCAGAAAACTGAAAATTATCAAAATAATATGACTACTTTTCAAATCTGTAATGTGACATCACTGACTCTTTGGACGGGTGATAAAGTCATTGTAATAAAAATTTAATACCATAATTCTGAAAGCAAGGAAAGTTTAATTTACCACCAAAATTTAGTTATTTTTACTGATTAAATACAAATATCATGTCTTACGTGGTTGAGAAGCGTGTCACCAATTTTTTCAACAGAGCGATCATGGTGACGTCTCTGTAATTCCTGAAGATTCCGAAGAAACCCCATGTGGACTTCGATTAGTTCATCCAGCTTTGGGAAGAGTCTATCAACAACTGCTTTTGGCATGTGGAGATCATGCAAGATTCCCTGGGCGTACACCTGTAACCCCACAAAAATAGATCTCTCAATTCATCAAGTTATAACATGTTAATTCTAAACACTTAAGTATCAAGCTTAATATTTATATAAATAGTATAAAAATGATTTTTTTTTTGGATAAATTTTATCAAACTGATTGAAAAAATTCCAAGAAAAACAAGTCTACAAGGCAGACAACTCATTTATGACTTTATAGAGTTACTTACCCTTTGTAGAATTTTCAATGTTCTACAATGGTGTCTCTCTGTCTGGATAAGTTCTATACAAAACAACACAGAATGTTACTATCATTTCACAACGAATTACAAGGCACTCAATTTCAATATTGAAGACTTTATACTTATGTTTCAACCTCTGTTTTACAAATCAGATTTTTACCCCATATTGTGTCTTGTCTTTTAATTTCTTGTGAGTTGAAATGTTTCCTTTTCTGTAGGATGAAAATGAAATTGACAATAACATCATCATGACAAAAAACATTATACATCTGTACAAAAATAACATAGGTATATATATACATATATATATACATAACATATTGATCACTTCCGTTAACTTTGATAACCGTCACCTTTTTCTCGATGGTTTCACTCCAAGTCTCTGGTTCTTCAGCACTGAGATTCCGTAAATCCTCATCAATATGTGACGTTACCTCTAAAACAGCTGTGAATGAAAAATCAGTCAAAATGCTAACATCAAGAGTATTTATCTACCTTTGAGTTCCTAATACAAATCTAGTATTTTGAGAATAGGTTTAAAACAAACTTTCAGATAAAACACAACTCAAATTTTTAATAATTTAATATAGTATCTTATTCATCATATTAAGGATTTGCATTTCTTGTGCACTATAAATACATATTTTTAAAAAGTAAATTTTTCACCATAGCTTTTTATTCTGATCTTGATCCTCTGTGTTCTTGCAATAAGTTTAACTTACCATCAACATCATCTAAGCTTTCCAGTGAGTTGGAGTTTGCACTAGATAACCTGCAAAGAGAAGCAGTCAGTCATTAAATAACCACAAATATGTGGATACCTTCACCGCTCTGTAATAAAGAGAATTTGTCTACTACAGCTACTTAACATCAATGTTCTCAATGAATTGTACAAGATCAGAACAAACATCCACTTCACACCATGAATGGAAGGTGCAAGAGTCTCAAACTAGATTACATTTTTAAAAAAATGTCTTTGAAGAAAATTTAAAATGCTTTCCAGTAGAGAGTAGATGATACATGTTTCTTAATTCCCATGTTCTTTTCTCTTAATCATTTCAAAACAACAATGTAACACCACAGAAAATAAATAAAATGCACTCAACAATAATTCAAAACAAAAGAGAAGTTCTCTTAAGATAGATTCCAACATCAACAACAAAAAGGCCTGAAAATGCACACTGAGGCTAATGGGATCTTACCTCTGTTTTAGTCTAAGGTAGAGTTCCCCTATAACCTTGTTATAGCTACTATCATACTTATATGTCTCACTTCTCCAAATAGTAGGGGCACTGTGCTGCATAGTCCAGTAATTCACTTTCATTTCAGACAAGTAAACATATACACATCCAATTTTAGACTATGTATTCCAGACACATGTACAGTATAGGTAAAAGGAAAGGGACACAAAGAAGAGACCATTCCAGTCCAAACAGATCTCTTACATGTGTGTTTCTACATATCCAGATGAAATCTATCATTCTAACTGTAAACAAACCTTTACATGGTGACTATATTAGGGGGTACTTAAAGTTTTGGTCAAAATGGAAATGATTCATACAATACATATTATTGTTCGAGTGTCTATAAATATCCAGACTCCTCACGCCATCTAAGTGGCAATTTAGTGTATCCCACAAATCTCAGAGACACCGCAGCTCATACTTCTCCAATTGGTAAGGATTTGAAACGAAATATTCAATTTATATTTAAAATTAAAAAAAAAATCATGAGGGAGGGTCTAATTAGAGGGACAAATTTTAAAGTACAAAACTAACATTCAATCAATCAATTCTGGGAATTAGTCAATACCTGTAGAGGAATAATTATATTTACCTTTATGTATGACCTTGACTCAAGTTTTTGACCTTGACTCAAAGCAAAATGAATGTATTAAGGATATACTTTGCTATTTTATAAAACTACTTTAGTTCCTTTACCAACTCATACATTTCATGAAAAAGTGAACCACTTACTTAAAAACTAGACTGCTATAGTCACTTATTCATAAGAACTTCCTGTTACCCAATAATGATGTTAAAAACCTGGATGAGAAATACTGGAATTAATTGTTAAAAATATAGAGGATAGTTTTAATATGCAGGTTATTTTTTCCTTATTTGTACACCCTCTATCTACCCTTTTGGGAAATAAATAGTGCTCATATGTTTGGGGTTATATATCAACATCATATCCTCTGTTCATGTCACGGTTTCATTCAGAATGGGTGGTGTTCACAATAAATTAACAACCTTCTTTTTAACTTCCATGTATCTGTATGAGCCATTCTTTCCTTTTCCACTTGGACAACTAACAAGACACTTAAAGGAAAGTTATTTTTGACAAATAATCATAATGTGTATTACTAATGTATCACAAAGCTATGGACTTCTCTAAATGGAGAGGTAGTCATTGAGTTGTATTTTGGGGGTTTCCCATGTATAACTGGTGAAGGCAGTGAGATCTAAGGATTAAGTCAAATGAATGGAGAAATCACAACTTGTCACCAGATATGGCAAAAATGTAGATCTGATTTTACAGACACTGAATGAATTGTATAAATCCTCTACCTCCCAATGACAATCTTCCAATTCATAAAATGCAATGTAAAACATGTCGTCATTCACTCCAATACAATCTTTACAGGACAATTCTGGTCAGTTGTAACCATCAGGGAAAGAACTTTGTACAAATGCTTTACTCCACAATGAACACAATGTTTGCATAATATTCATGTAACAGTACAAAATTTGATTATTATGTAACAGGAAAGGAGAAAATGTATGGCTGGACTGGGAATTAAACCTGGGACCCCTGCATCACTTGTCAGGTGCTCTACCGACTAAGCTACCAAGGCTGATATCCATGGCTTAAACCATTACATTCCTCCCTCCTTAAATTGTCTTCGCCCTCAAAGACACAACCCAAGTTCTTATCAGCCCCTGGCAGGACATTCACCTGCAAATCCAGGGGTGGTCACGACACCAAATCTGTAACAGGAAAGGAGAAAATGTATGGCTGGACCAGGAATCGTACCCGGGACCCCTGCATCACTAGTCATGTGCTCTACCGACTGAGCTACCTAGGCCGATATCGCAGCCCAAACCATTACAATAAAGAATGTCTCTTGTCTGGTCTATTTTCTATCTTCTAATTTATAAACTCGATCTCAAAAAAAAGTTCCTTTGGATTGACATGATTAACCATAATCTTATTCCCTGGTAGCCGGCTTTTGTGAGAGGAGACTTACCCAATCTGACCGAGGTCCTGCCCTGGTCCCTGTCTATCCTGGTCGGTCTCTTCATGAATAGCTTTGCTACAACAACAGGTGGCCAACTTAAAGATCACATTAAATTAAAACAACTTACAGATTGAAAGAATTAAAAAAATAAATCATGCAAATGAAATATATATCCAAAACCAAATAATGATCAAAAGGTACGTGCCAAAAACCTCGTGCAACATTAATATATTAGTAAAATATATGTATAGCAAAAAATGAAATAAACCAAAAAATTGAAAGCTAAAAAATGAAGTTTTCTTAAGAACTTAAAAATGTCAGCTGTTGGCTTAGCATGGAAATAGGATTTCACCAATATTGAGCCTTCGGACAAATTCAGCAGGAATGAAGCAAACAGTTAATGCCAAGCTACACTTACTCGATGCCCATAAGCTTCTCCCTGGCGCGGCGCCAGTGCTGATAGCCTGGTCTCTGGTATTGTGGTGACATTGAATAACTGTTAAGATAATAGAGGCTACGTCATAGTATTACATGCAATAAGAATATGTTTGAGAATACAGACTCAGGCCTTGGCTGAGACAAGCAGCTGCTCCAAATAGATGTAAATCTCTGGGATTTATTCTGTACATCATTTTCTTGCTTTAATATAAAATTCAAGATAGTAAATTGGCTCCTTTTTTTTTTTGGAAAGATATAACAAGTTTCTTTTTTTCTGCACCCTTAACAGAAATCATGTAATATCATGGACTGACAACAGAACTTAAAAAGGTGACAGAGATTAAATAAAAGTTGTTGAAATAGGGATTGTGCATCAAATAATTTTAAACAGAAAGAAATTTCACAAGAAAAAAAAAATCATGCACTGAGAGATTCCTAACTCTGACTTAAAATACATGGCTGCCTAAACAATCTACATACATTCTAACGCTAACTCATGTTAATCCTATAAGTTATTAACCTATGAGGACAAAGCCCACCCCGTCTAATGGTGTGTTTACCAATAAAACTGGATTGTTCTTCATAGATCATTATCTAATTTTATGTATAAAGCTCTGATGATAATCAGGGATTAATGCATACGTATTGTTAGTAGATACAATGCACCCGTGCAATTCCAAAACTCCTTTGGGTATACAAAACAGAGTAAATGCACTGCATAAACATGATAAAAATGTATTTCTAGAGAACATGGGTTACAATGCTTGAAATTTTAAAGATAGCATAATAAAAGCTGATTTAATAATCTTACATTCAAAATGTGTTCATAAACATTAAATGGAATTAAAGCTCATCTTAATGAGACATTATATAAGATGGGACTATGAATTTTAATGAATCGGTATGTACAGACTAACAAAGAATCAGATTTAATAACAAAATAATCTAGTTACATTCCTCATGTTTATAGGAATCAAGGTGTCAACTACAGGATAAGTCTACAAAATTCAGAGAGCATGAGCACCATGTAATCTGATGATTAATTAATATCAGTAATGGCCTTGACATGTTGAGCAGTGTGACCTTGACCTGTTGTATTTTCTACCTTGCATTTGGTAAACTTCTTCTATGAAGAGCTGCATGATGTCTGTCTCCCTAAAATATATCAAAATGTTCATTATTTTATATTCTGCATGCACATATTCACACTATGGTAACATTATTTAAGGTTTTAAATTTAGGAAAATCCAAAAAAATATTTTTAATGGAATCATTTTGTACCCTGCAACTATTTACATATTTGTTTTAATAATCAGAATTAGGGAATACATATAATATATATTTCAATCATCTTTGTTATTATCATTACTGTTATTTTTTTTATTTTTGAAGTGCTTGAATATCAACCGGAACAATTATGAACAGATGAAGAGGAAATGATATCATAATAACTGATTGATTGACTGTTGAAGTTATTGTTTACTTTTTAATGTTTGTAGGTTGACAATATCAATATCAGACAACACCTTAAACAAAGACACAGAGTTACTGACATAAAAATTTTAATTCTGGATCAGCATGTAGTCATTGAGTAAAAAAGCTAAAAAGGCTACTGGCCTAGAAGTTACAGGGAGGTTAAAAAGACTGCAAAATAACAGAAAACAGAGAACAAAGGGCTAATGAATGGATCTAAATTGACAATCAATTTCAAAGCAATTTCAAGTTGAGAAAACTTTAAGACAAGAGAACTAGAGAGTTAGTTGAGACTGTCTCTTACAAAGTGGCATTAGTGTTAAGACTGTAATAAATGGGAGGATGCTAGAATTGTACCAATGTTAAGGATATCTGGCAGTACATATATTAGCATTAGATACTTGGACTGAATAAAAGGTACATATTAAAATTATTTACCTCTTACCATACATCATTTATATGGAACATAAAACTCTTTCCAAGATTATATATGATTATGAATGCAGAAGTACAAGATTTCAGATTTAAAAAATCATTTATATATATTTAGGTATGTACAGCTGTATTTATATAGTTATAATTGTCAAAAGTACAGTGATAAATAAGAAAGCACCACCTGTACAGTTTAGAAAGCATTTTTATAATAACCCTCATCCCATTATCTTTCAACTGTGAATAAAGAATCTGTAAATTTTTAGTGACTTAATTAAAGTCTAGAAAGAAATAACACTTTTTAAAAAGATATACCTTTTACTGACTATAAGATTATTAGAGTGTATATGAGCTCCTGATCTGGACCTGTATGTGTGGTGAGAGTTAGTGGGGGCTACTAGAGGACAGTGCATGCATACCTGGTTTTCGTCAGGTTCAGAAGAGTCAGGAATAGCGGACAGAGAGACACCTGCTGATGAGGAGGAGGAGGTTACCTGATTCCTCAATGGGACCCCCGCTGATGGACTCCGCTCCTTAAAGGACTGGGTGGGTCGCAGACCTGAGTACGCAGCTACAATAAAAAAAATAGTACATATACAGAAAATCAGTTTAAACCAACTTACTTTTACATTTTTCACACTAAAATAGTTAGTTAGGGTTTGATAACAGCCTAATAATTAGTCTATTTTGGACCCTTCCCTAGCAGCTCATTCTCTCACAATAAGCTTCTTAACTTACTTACATATATCTTATATATATATACATGTGTATATATATATATATATATATATATATATATATATATATATATATATATATATGATCAACTCCCATATATTTAAAGATACCTTAAATACATTTCACATGTTAAGACAATACTTATATAAAAAACATCAGGAATATCCTAATGGAATGCACAAATGCAATTGCATTATAAAGAGCAAAAAATGTAATAAAAGATTTTGTATTCAGAACATTTAAAAACTTTTGAACAATTTTTTTTCCTTGCTGTTGACTCCAGGAAACATTTGTTTGAACAGTAGCAACATCTGACTGCCCTCTTTGAAAATAAAACATATAAAGAACATGAAATATGAGCGTTTAATCAATATAAGATTAAAAGATTAAAAGGCAGAATATGTGTGGCAGTTACAAGGTCATGTTGTGACTGACTGACGTGTCAGAACTAAAAAAGTTAAGTACAAGGTCACTAAAAACTGGCCCGCGCTTCTCACAAAGATTATAAAAATTAGATTTAAAACTGCAGGAATAAAAAAGCAAAATATATGCATTTTGGTCATTTGTTCTGAAAGAAACATTTCAACAGGTTTTTATTTAATGTTCATGAGAAAAAATATTAGGGTTTGAATGAAAGATCTAGAAGTCCTAGTTGAAAATTACTCATAAAAATTGAAGTGCCTCTTTTTGTACAGTTATCGACCAAAGGTTCTTGAGAAAACTTGACTTATATCAACATGATGGGAAAACAAAGGCAGAGTCCTCCTAGTATTATATGAACTTCTGATTTATGCAGGAACATGTCCATACATCTACAGAATCCTAACACTGGTCAAGTTTGAAAATCCTGACAACTTCAAGGCTGGAGATAAGGGAAGGGCTATTTACTCGCTCTAATTGGCTATTAATGTACCCCCATATCTTGGTATGGTGGGCCTGAAAAGCAGGAAAACACAGCTTTATTTTGACAGAAAACTTTTCAAAGCCATGTATGAAGTGCAGAACTTTGCAAGGTGATGAAGTCTATGGTAGTACAATCATCTTCTCAAAAGATAATACTGTAGTCATGGTAGCAGTAGACATTAATACAAATCAATGTGGATCAAGAGTTTTTAAATAATGCCCACGGTTAAAACACAAAGGACACTTTATTACTATAAATCCTTAAGAGATCAGTGCAAGGATGAAGGTGCAGTAAAAGTGTGCACAATACTACAAAGCTATAACAAACTGGATTTGACAGCTGACATGATGAAGGCAGGATAAACGAAGGTAGTACTGTAGCTACCTGTCGTCTGCACATGTACAGCAGACGATGTGATAGCAGTGAAGCTACCTGTGGTCTACACATGTACAGCAGACGATGTGATGGCAGTGAAGCTACCTGTCATCTGCACATGTACAGCAGATGATGTGATGGCAGTGAAGCTACCTGTCATCTGCACATGTACAGCAGACAATGTGGTGGCAGTGAAGCTAACTGTAACAGTTGTCTACACGTATACAGCAGACAATGTGGTGGCAGTGAAGCTAACTGTTGTCTACACATATACAGCAGACGATGTGGTGGCAGTGAAGCTACCTGTCACCTGTACATATTCAGCAGACAATGTTTTGGCAGTGAAGCTACCTGTTGTCTACATATATACAGCAGACAATGTGGTGGCAGTGAAGCTACCTGTTGTCTACACATGTACAGCAGACGATGTGGTGGCAGTGAAGCTACCTGCTGTCTACACATATACAGCAGACAATGTGGTGGTGGTGAAGCTACCTGTTGTCTACACATATACAGCAGACATTGTTGTGGCAGTGAAGGTACCTGTTGTCTACACACATAAACAGCAGACAATGTGATGGCAGTGAAGCTACCTGTCATCTGCACATGTACAGCAGATGATGTGATGGCAGTGAAGCTACCTGTCATCTGCACATGTACAGCAGACAATGTGGTGGCAGTGAAGCTAACTGTAACAGTTGTCTACACGTATACAGCAGACAATGTGGTGGCAGTGAAGCTAACTGTTGTCTACACATATACAGCAGACGATGTGGTGGCAGTGAAGCTACCTGTCACCTGTACATATTCAGCAGACAATGTTTTGGCAGTGAAGCTACCTGTTGTCTACATATATACAGCAGACAATGTGGTGGCAGTGAAGCTACCTGTTGTCTACACATGTACAGCAGATGATGTGGTGGCAGTGAAGCTACCTGCTGTCTACACATATACAGCAGACAATGTGGTGGTGGTGAAGCTACCTGTTGTCTACACATATATAGCAGACATTGTTGTGGCAGTGAAGGTACCTGTTGTCTACACACATAAACAGCAGACAATGTGGTGGCAGTGAAGCTACCTGTTGTCTACACACATAAACAGCAGACAATGTGGTGGCAGTGAAGCTACCTGTTGTCTACACATGTGGTAACAGTGAAGCGACTACCTGTCACCTGCACCAGAGCTGATATAACATGTCACATGACACAGACAGACCACAATGCTCTGACAGACCATCATTAAATTATAAATTATATATACTTGGAAGACTTGGTTATCTAGATGAATACAATTTACAGAAGCAGTACTAAATGACAGAATGAAATGTCACTTCTCATTAATATCTGATAATTTCTCCCACTATAATAAAAACCTGCCTGTGACCCGTGTATCTGGAAAATTACAATGACTTCATCAAAGTATTGTTAAAAACTCAGAAAAAGACAAACAACTATTCATCAAGTAAATCAATTCTGAGTGAGGGATTGATTTCCAATAATCCAGACCTTTAAACAGTAAAAAATGAAAGAACTCTCTAGTTTTGCTGAAGGACAAGAGAAATGTCACAGGATCAATAAACTTCTGAAGTCTCTGCTCTGTAACAGATGGGATGAAAATCTCTGTATAAACTTTTAAAAAATCTAATAATCTGCTTCATTAAATCAAGTGACTATATGTAAAGGATCCATTTATGATAGATGACCTCCTTTATCATAACCATGCAGCTTCTATAAATTTGTTAATCTTTTTAAACCCAGAAAACAATGATTCTTTTGTTTACAGTATTCTTTCTGGTTGGAAAATGAGATTTAAAATAACTTGTATAATACACATTATTTCGGTTTACTGCATCTCACAGAGAAAATCAATATTTTAAAACAGATTTTCTTCCTTTTTCATTATTTCATTTCCCATTCTCCTGTAAGTATATTATAATTCAGCCTATAAACATTTATGATTTGTTTTTCTCTACCCCAAAACTAAGAATTTGGAGACTTCAGAAAAAGAAAAATAATTTTCCTGTCTGTTTCATTGTTTTATACTTACATGACCTACATTCTAACACCATTAAATTTCTAAAACAAAGGGTGCAGTAAAATTTGTGTCTAAATCCCACAAATGCTTAAATACAGCCCCACGCAAAAACACCTGAGATGGAGTGAATAGTGATAAAACAACACAGAAAACAAAAAACATTTTGTACTTAGAGGTGTTGATCATTATCCCAAGGCAAAAAAGATTGCAATGTACTGAGCGTTACTTATATACAGAACCATGGCGTTAATTTGTCAATCCTGGATGTTCAGTGATCCCGGGGGTCAGGCTACTTACCCTCGCTTGTCCCCTCAGTGGGGTACATTTGTTCCGTGATGATACCCGTTATATCCACACTATAATATTTCCTTCTGATTTACACACTGATGAATTCAGCTGTCTGTGACCTTCACATTCATACTACACAAAGCCAGGTGCCTTAACAATTTAATCTTAGACTAAAATGTTCCTGACCATACAACCTCTGACCAACCTATTACCATTTGGCAAGAATTTTCACAAAGACATCGGGTGATAAAGATCATTATAATTGAAAAAATGATTCTACAGTTCTTTGGTAAACTGGATATACAAGCAATGTGAATAAATGTACATAATTAGTAATTACGTATGTAAACAATGCTTCAGGATATAGTCTCTCAGATACAAGATATAGGAGAGGTTTACTTAGTCAAGGATAGGAATACACACACAAACAACCAGCTGATATATAATACATATGTAGTCTAACACATATCAGGGTTGTGGATAACCACTCGCCCACTCGAAAATGCGAGTAAAATTTGCGGTGGGCGACTAGATATTAAAAATCTGGTCGCCCACATGGCGAACGATTTTTTTACCGGAACATAATCACATTTCAGTTTTATTTTATGTACTTTCAGTTTTTTAAGAAAACGCTCTACTAACTTAGATTATTTGTGTTGCGTACAAGCATATTTCTCAAACATGTACGTGACTGAGATCAAACATGGCGATTTATCGAAGCGGTTAAATCTCCGTTAAATCTGATGATACAAGAGCAAATGTTTGAGATTGTTCTAATAGAAATATTGTAACAATCGGCTATGGTTGTCACACTCACCATTCGACTAGTTATTCACAGATAGAATTTGAATTACCGATGCACACAATAAAAGATCGGGATCAAACTTAATCACAGGTTGTAATTTAAATAAATTTATTATTTAATATGCCCTTTAATTGTTAAACCATAGACGCTTCAGTTGTATAAGTTAAGGTTAAATACTACGAAATGTAATGAACATATTATCGGATCATAGTTTTTAGAAAAGAGAAAACGTGACAAAAATCCATATTCTGCGAACATATAGATACTACAAAAAAAAAAATTTAGAATTTTTGTGTTCTTATTTTTAATTTACATATAATGTGGGCCCGTGGATCACATTGTGGGCCCGTAAAATTTGAAAAGTTAGGAGCCCACATGGCCCCTAAGGTTTTAAAAGTTAACCACAGCCCTGCATATAGTGCTATGATCATACAGAAAAATATAGAGTTCACCAATTTTAAAGGAGAAGACATGCAAACACATCATTCCACTGAAAAAAGTTAACATAAGAAAGCATGTAGCATACAAGTCTGACCTAGCTGGCATAGAATATCAAGAAGAAACAGAAAACTCAAGCTTGTTGTTAATGTATATATTGTTGTAAGACATACGAGACAAAAACTCTCTTTTTGGATTATTTTTTCTGTGTGTCATGAACCAGAATGTACTAATAATAATAAATTCTTTTATTTAGAGCAAATAATGAACATTTTACGACTGTTTTGCTAAAACTATCTTTGTCAAATAATGACCAAACTGACTGTTGGACCGAAACACTCCAGGACCCAATCTGTGTCTCCACCTAAGTGACATTATTAGGGCCTGTCTTTGTGGATAACAATGACTCATTTACTAAGTATCAATACAGTGTAAATATCATTTAATTTTTAAACAGAGCTTTGTCAGCAGACCACAGTAAGCAGCTTGTTGTTAATTAAGGTCTTTATAATGCTGCGTGGACACTGACCAGGGAACCAAGTAACGGCCTGGACAGACCTATCTGAGTGCAGAAAACTATCCAATTACCAGAGATCCTTATATAAATGTGGGCATCTAAAATCGGATACTTAATAACTGCTCCTAATCTCACTGCACTATTTAAACTTTACAGACTTTCCATACTCGTATCAATTAAAAATTCTTTTATTATGATGACTGCAATTAATCATTTCTATAATAGTCTAGATCATGAATATGGAAAAACTCTAATCATTTTATCATCCTCAGACTGGGCATGAATTAATTCATTATTTCAGTACCAACAATAATGCAGCTAGGGTCCAGGCATGCATGTTTACATTTTCTGTCTAACCCTTGTTATCACTTGAATTCCGAACTCTTTCATTCTCTGCATATTTGTGTCAATTATATATGATACCAGTGTTTACCTTTATACAGAACTGTGACATCATTGTGTTATAATTGTGTCACTTGACCAGGCACAATCAAGCCATTAATACAGTGTGATCCTTTTTTCTAGTCAGAAGTTTACTATCATTTTCTGCATATTTCAGTCCGTGTTTAATCCTTAACCTTTTTTTTTAATCTTCTGTTGATCTGTATATGTGTATTGAAAGGAGTGGTGTCACCTGTACCCAGGTATGTAAAAGTGTATCTAATGTAAAGGTGGGCTCAGGTGTCATATAGGTATCAAATAGCTCATCCTTGTATCAACAAATGATATTTAGGCCATAAATAACCCCCAAAACACTACAGGAATATTAAGTCACATAAACTAGTATAAATATAGTTAATTGTTGTTAATTAATTGTTAATGTGACAGAAAAGAATTAACCCAGAAAATAACTCCACAATGAAAATAAAACACATAATCTAAAATAAACAGACCTCCTCATAATTAAAGGTGACTATACTGTAACCCAAAATGTGCAAAAAACAATTCAAATATTTAATCTGATGTAAATAGATTTTGTTAATTGATGTGACTGACAGAAGCCTTAGCATGACCAGCCTAATGACTGTAAAAGGAGAGGGAAGTTGGATAGCCAAGAAAATCTGGCTTTTTCACAGTGGGAGGAACTGTAGATACCAAAGAATTTCCTTTCCTCCCCTGAAATCTAAATTAACTCCCCATTATTAGCTCTAATTCACCCTCCTGACACAGTGGAATGATTGGTATTTCTTTCATTGATAAAGTACATGTACCTGTACACTTATTTTAACTCCATACAACAGGGTCAAAAGTCTGCAATGTAAGCAATTCAAAGATGAAAGTATTATAGGCTATGTAGTGAACCAAAACAATTAATACAGTTGATATTTTTGCTTTTAGTACCTTTTCCATTTTATAAAATAGAGAAAAAAACATCAGTTTTATTCTTTACCTGAGATTGAAAAAGATCATAAATACAATAGCCTGATCAGAAATATGCAATGAAACAACCACTACCAAGAGAACACCAAGGTACATATGTACATGTAATACATATTACAGAATTCGAGCATTTAGAGTTGTAGCAATTAAGGTTGTAGGCTTTGAGTATATTACATTATCAATAACTGAAGCTATCCCTTAAAATTAGCATTCAGTCATGAATAAAATGTTTATTTTTGGGGTCTGTGGGGAAAGAAAATGTCAAATCCTGTAGCACTCTGACCTGCAGGTCACAATTCCAATATCACTGAAAACCCCCGACTATGTAGACATGTGAGTGACGTCACCTGAGAGAATTAAGTGTGCTAACATTGGAGAAATACAGTACATCTATACAAGTTATGAGCAGATAACTAGAAAATAGACCAAGACTACCCTTTACTAACATTATTACCGAAGACAACATCACACTAAGGGTGATAACTCTAACCTGATTAGAAATAGTGCAGGGAGATAACTCCAAAGTGAAAGTTATCTTCATTTGTTATTTATGTCTGGTCATCCAGACTGATATGATTTTTCATCACTTTTCAGGAGAAGATAACTGTGTATATAAACAACATGTAGGATATACTTACTACCAGCAGTCAGCTGTTTATCCTGCGTGTGGAGGTTTGTCATTGATCCTGTTTCTGGACCTCGTTGAGGAACCTACAATGGAGTAAAATACGGTTAAAAACAAAATACACAAAATAAAAGAGGATTCTGTCACAAATCTATAAAAGAGTGAAAATAATTAAATATATGTTTTAGGTAATTTATTTTTATTTCATTAAGACAATGATAAGATGTAAATGGTATATTTTCTTCCTTTAATGTTTCAGAAAGTTCAACAGTTGTCGTATATGTTACTGGAAGCTTTCAAACAATTAAAATTTTCTTTTTTCTGTAATAATTGTCAACATTGTTAAAATCATATCTAGATCATGCCTAAATGCTGTCTTTGAAATATGGCAGAGAATAACCAAGATACTATAAAATGTATGTAAATGAGGCAATTTTAGAAAGAAAGAGAAAAGATTTTCTTTCAAAGACAACAAATCATCATTATACTGAGATAGAGAGAGAAGTTTTAATATTCAAGTGTCAGAAATTACCAATTTTCACAGAAAAAAAATGTCTGGCATCAGAAACATTTCACCATTGTCTTAACAAATCCAGTGTTGGTGGACCAAACAGTGAAAAAAGTCCACAATTAAGTAAAACTGTAACTTCTACAGCTGATTGCACAGGTAAAATAAATCTGCTTAGACTTAAATTCCCTCCAAGTGACTCACACTGAAGAATGAGTTCCCATAAATATTATGTTATGTAATACCAACACATTTCAGGGCACTTAACTTTTGTACCTTGCTGTACCACACAACAACATGGTTATTGTGAAGCCTCTACATAGGTTACATTTAAGACAGAACATGATATCCCATTAAAGGAATCTGTTTTCAGTATAGGATTAATTCTACAACACTGATGACCCATTCTGATACAAGCCAGATTTTCTAGTTTATCATTTCACTTTAAAAAAGAAAATTGAATAAATCAAAGACATATTTTACATGAGTAGACTGTATGTACAGTCATTGTACAAGAGAGTTTGAAGTACCCTCCACAAGGATTTTTTAAAGGATATAATATTAGTACATTTTTTTCATCTTATAAACAAGAATGCTATATGAGTTGCAGTAAAATAAAAATTCCAGTCCTTTAACTTTGAGACAGAAAAATGACTAAGAAAAACCAAATATACAAAGACCTATATAGAGAGAGGAAGCTTGTACAGAAAATGAAGGGGGTTAACTTTATACATCAGGGTTTGATTGATCATTCGGATCAGGTCAAAGTGGTCTTTCTACACCTGTATAGTGGTCACTGAAAAACAGCCGAGTCTCCATAACAAAAGTATACATGTAGATGGTAGTTGCCCTCCTCCCCACCTCACCCTCACACACATCTCAGGTCTGCAGTTAACTGCTGAGCTAGCAGACAATATGTGCAAGAATATGTCTGTTCATGTGTACTTTGCTGTAGATATACCTTAAAGGTAAATCTTAAACAAATAAACTGTTTCTTTGAAGTGTCAACACCTTCTCCTTAGGGCTAAATACACATATACAGCTGACTTAATGAAAACTACAATGAGATTTTCCCAAATACTCATTTTAACAAATTTTTAATATTGCAATAAGCAACTTCACTGTACTGTGAGTATAATATTTGTTGATATTTTATTTGATGTACAATCTTGATTGATCTGTTTCTTGTTTTTTCCCCCATAAAAACCATGCATCTACAACCATGCACCCTCTTATATACTACACTAAGCAATCTCAAAGTATCTCATACATAGATGTGAATTAAAAAAAATACAGACCATTTTTGAAGAAAAGTTCCTATACTACTACATACTCCATTTTCATGTCCCGTGAATACAGAGACCACAGAAGCAATCTAACACGTTCCATACCTATATAAACAATCAGGTGAGTGACCCTTGACCTAGGACCCCTCAGGGCCCTGAGTTATTTATAATCTGTTCCACTATTGACTCTTTGCTGGCTTGAGACACTTCCCATTACATAACATTCCAGTAATATTTAGAGCAAGGTGTTGTAAACATTCCTGTACATTCAATGAATATACCCTTGCTACATACAAACAACAGTGTCTGAAAGAAATCATTTCAGAAATAATTAAACCACCAAACTTCCAGGAAAAAATGTATATATCCTCAATATAACCAAATTAGGCCTATATATACATTTTGACACTTCAGCCCAACATTTAGTGTGCTGATTTCATATATTGTTAATCCTTTTGATTTAACAAAGTAAAAATAGTATATGACTATGCAGTTATTATGCTTTAAATTAATTGCACAGAGAAAAATTAAAATCCGATAAAAAGACAATATATACAGTTGACAATGTGCTGAATGTTTTCATATAGTTCAAGACTTTAGATGTATCACATTTGGGGTTAATTAATGCCATTCATGCTCAAAATTTGTAAATCACACATAAAAGATCAGGAAATTCATCATTTACTTGCTTTTTCATATTAAAGAGAAGACTTAATTTCCTAAAATGTCACTTGAAAAAGATAGTATTTTAAAAAAAAATTAATGTTATACACTTAATTAAGGTGTGCAATATTTTACTTTCATTTCTTCATTCTAGAAAATGCTGGGTCATCTGTTTAACATGGTGATATTAAATAAAATATATGTAAAGAGGCCCAGGGGCCACATCGCTCACCTGAGCACTCTGACTAGGAAAAAGCAGAGATCAGTTCAGTCTTGAAAAGTTCTGATATAAAAGTGGTTCGAGGGGGGGGGGGATTTGAACTTGAATCTCTACTTCAAAGGGATGCTTTTGAATTAATATGACAAATAATGGCTATGCTGTTCTTAAGAAGACAATTTTTATTGATATATCATTTGTACTCCTTTGTATAACTATGATCCCCTGTTATGGCCCCTCTATTCTCCTGGGGGGTCATGATTTGAACAAAACTTGAATCTACATTACCCGAGGATGCTTGCATTTAAATATGACTAATTATGGCTTTGCTGTTCTTCTTCAGAAGATTTTAACATCAATTCTCTGCAAGGACCAAAAATGCTTGGCCACGCACTATCATGGAATTTTATTTTATCACTATAATATTAGAGAGTGCCCTATATAAAGACTATTGGTGGGTAAATTTTGGACAGTACCTCCTTGGTTTCCATAGCAACGACTTTGAACTATTTTGTCATGGCAAAACTGACCTGATTGTCATCACCATGTAAAATAATTCCGTGCTTCCTTAATGTAGGAAAGTTATGAACATAACATGGGTTTCATTTTATAGCTAAGTAATCAAAGTTTCTGTGCATCTAAATTTTATTCAATTTAACCCAAGGTTTTTAATATGATACAGATCAATTTACATGAATTTGTCATAAAAATGAATACAAAGGTGCCTATTTCTTGATATGCATATTAAATTTTGCAGGCAATTGAAACTTAGAAAAAAGATCTTTTTAGTAAGATCAAGCTTAGATCTAAAAGATGCAAAAAGATTTGAGGTGGGGAAATCAGTTAAAAGTCATATTCCAATCCCCTCAAATTATAACTTTTCCTAAAAATTAACTAGAGTTATTTCCCTTTGCTGACTCTTTTGCACTGAGGTAGCTAAACACAGTTTCGTATAAAATCCAGGGGGTTTTCCTGAGAGAAAAGCATGATGGGCAGGGATTTCCCTGCTATTTTTATGCAGTGTACATGAAAATTGCAGCTTTTTTATTTTTATTTGCATAAAGTAGAGTCTTATCTTAAGATTAAATGAAAAAAGTATACAAATATTTTTTGAGAATTATTTTTTGTGTGACTTTTTAATAGTGGGAGATAACTCTAAAATCACCCATTTTTCACATGTGCAGAATTGCATGATTTGAGTAGCAGGTAAAGTAGCTCTTTAAAAAGCTGGAAAATGTACCCTAAAAGTATAACAGAAAGAAACCTAAGGACTTGCTCTGTTAAATGCACAGCACTTATATTTTCTGATTTATGCACTGTTTGTGATCAAGGGAGCTAAAAATGCATAGGTGTACTACAATTAGATGCATAAACTTCCCTATTTCCCCCATGTTTCATGTGTCAAGTACACCTTATTAGTAAGTGATAAATGCTATATATTTATATATTTATAAAATTCACAATTTTATCTTTCTATTGATATATAGATGTCTATGTAGCAAGTCTTCATATTATTTCTTTATGGGGGTCACTTTAGCATGTCCCTCATTTAGTAACGTCATGATAACGTCATACATAAAACTGTGTTTTGCACCCTTAATTAAGGAGTGACACTAAATGACATTTTCCTTCATTTATCTATCTGTAGGTCAGAGAATATTGCTATCTTAGCTTTACTTAATGTACGAAACCATGCATTAAAGCTTCATGCTGACATTTAATCTTGTATAATGCATAAGGTACATGTTTTTAGCTTTGTTACATGTTATATTATGACGAGACGGATTGTGATGTATTATTTTACATTATGATGAATTTGCATTGTGACATCAAAGTGTGACGTTATGTCAAAAAGGAAGCTTCATTAGGTCGTGACCTTGAATATAATTGATCATAATCAAGGGATATATGCATCTATATCACATTTCATAATGAATATTTTGCTATGTTGACACAGTCTGGTCTTCTAAGGCAATCTCTCAATTTAACACTGTGACGTAACCCCCCCCTTTTTTTTTGGTTCATACTGCAATCAGAAATTTGTGTAAAATATAAAAATTTATATTTTTCGGATGCTTTTTAATTTATATTTTAACATGTCATTAATATTCAAATACTCAACTTTCTCGGTCATGTTCATCGTATAAAATAAAGTAAAATTTGTAAGCTGCTAGTCACAGTTTGGAAATTTATCTCCAAAGTCCTGTTTAAGGAGTCGACCAATGTCAAAGACATGTAATACTAAATTGACAATTTCTTGGCTATTTCTGGACCAAATTTAACTTTGTATACACCAAACTGTTTGGAATTTTGTCCTTCTTGCATCTAGACACCAGAAAGTGAAATACAGAATTTTTTTATTTCCTTTAAGGTAGCTAAACACAGTTTCGTATAAAATCCAGGGGGTTTTCC